CCTGTCGCAGTATTAAATAAAGTTTTCAATGATAAACGGAGTTAATAAACTAAAATAAATACTTGATATAAATATGAAAGTCATGGCAGATTTGGAATTTCCTTAAAAAAATATGGTTACTTTGCTCTTTGTTGAAGAAATATCTTAGCATCAATAAAAGTTTTTGCTAAATTGTCCCAATTTTTCCCCCTCAAATTCCCTAATTTCATCTCAATTTCCTATTACAATTGTCCATTTTTTTTCAGTAAATGACATGTTTCTTAGAGATTTTATCCAAAAATTCGAAAAATTTAATTACAAATAATGTTTTAGCTCTAGCTCTGATGAGCTGAAGCTCAAGTAATCTGATTAAAAAGTGTCCACCTTCCGTCTGTCTGTCGTGTGTTGACTGTAAACTTTTAAAATTTTCGATTTCTCCTCCAAAACCACTGGGCCATCTTCAACCATACTTACCACAAAGCATCCCTGGGTGAAGGGAATTCAAGTTTATTCAAATCATGACCACGCCTTCTTTTTTTTTGGGGGGGGGGGGGGGTTTAATTAAGAATTTGTGAAAGTTTGATGGCATCTTTAACTACATGCATCTTCTTGAGAAGCACAGACCCAGAAAAGATGAAATGTCTAAGAAAACTTTCTGAGATTTGTAGATTCGGTTTCTTTAAGCAAGCATCCTCACGGCCAGGAACACGTTAAGTTCCTAGACAGTACCGTTGTCAGAAACCTTTAAAGTTAAGCACTGAAACTGGTTCGTTGTCATGAACATACAGGTGAGGTTATGATAAAATCCGTCCGGTGTCATGCAAAAGATACAAGAATTTCTACATAATACCTAAATTTTAACGTTTTTGACAAATTCTAAGAATAAATTTGAATTTTGGGAAACAGAAACAACTTTCATTATTCCATACAAAGATTTATGTACTTGATATCCACAATACATTTTGAGGAGTTTTGGTTGGCGATCACATGCCCATGTGTGAAGCGAAGATCGTGAGCTAGAAAATTATATATTTCTTATATTTAATTCATCGAAATGGTTCTTCTATTCTAAAATATGAAGAGAAATTTCATTTGCAATGTATTAGGCAACCAACAGCTTTTTGTAGCTAACATGTTTTTGAAAAAATCGCAATTTATAAGCAAAAAGTCCGTTGTAATTACATGTTAAGTTTGTCTGGTCCGGTGTCATTTTTCTTAACATGCAAGAAAATCAATAAAATGCAACAGAAATGATCAAATATATGCCTAATTTAAAAAAAATACAAAGCATATTACAAATGTATTTGAATCTCGGGGTTATCTTACAGCAGCTCACACCAACGTGCTAACTATTCAGCGATGTTTTTATTTTCAATTCATTTTCTCTTAGGAACCTGCATCCTAGCTAGTATGCAAACATATACAATTCCTTGTATATCATTAGAATAACAAAATTAAAATGTTACGCTTAGGTCACATTTAAGCCGATGATCGGGCAACCAAATTATTTTCGTATCGTCAGCTGAGAAAACATGATCGGTCGACACTAGTACTTGGCGACGCAGCGTAGTGATATCAATTCCTAGGAACATCGATACCTTTAAAAGTAAAAATATTTATAAGTTGGCCAACCGTCGCCCGATCATCGTTCGCTAGGCCGCAGTTTGATTTTCATCTTCGGTCGTCAGTTGTACGAAAACTCAATTCCTAAATGTCGACCGACTGAAAAAACAGTTTAAAAACTGTATGCTGATGGTCGGCCTATGATCGAAGGTTGGTGGACGGACTATTCAATGAGTGCTTCAATTGAATCGGCCACAGACGCAAAAAAACTTGACCCGACTGACATGCATAAAATTGGTCGGCCGACGAAAATTTTTTTTATAAAAATCGGGCAAGACAAGGGTCGATAATATGAAACTTATGTTGAAGCATCCTCAGGTAATGTAGATTCAAATTTGTTCAAAACATGACCCCCGGGGGTAGGATGGGGCCACAGTGGGCTATCAAAATTTTACTTAAGATAACATAGGAAAAATCTTTAAAAATCATCTTCTCAAGAACAGCAAAGCCATGATTGGTCATATTTATATGGAAGCATCCTCAGGTAGTGTAGATCCAAGTTTATTCAAATCAAAGTTTAACATAGGAATAAATAGGGGAAATCATTAAAAAATCTTATTCTCAAGAAGAGCAAAAACATAATTGGTCATTATAAAATAAAAGCATCCTCAGGTAATGTAGATTTAAATTTGTTCAAATCATGATCCCAACAGAGGGGCCAAACAGGGGATCATAGTTAAACAAAGGGCTATGAAGGATATATCAGTAAAAATTTCTTCTTTAGAAAACAAAGCCATTATTAGTCATATTAGTTCAAAAGCATCTTTAGGTGGTGTAGATTCAAGTTTTTTCAAATCATATCCCCCTCCCCACTTTAATAATTAAACTTTTGAATACCGAACTGATTTCTGCGAACCAAAGTGCTCAGGTGAGCGATGTGGCCTATGGGCCTCTTGTTTTTGGTGGATTTGTGAATGTAATTGGTGTGTAAATCATACTGACGTATCTCGTATGCTATTCATGCAGCGTGATTGTGGCGGTACATTTTGTCGTCATGTTCATATTGTCGCGGGCGACAATGTGTATATACACTCACTGAGCATATTGTCGTCCATCAGTATATCTCGCATGACAATGCATGGTAATGTTTCCATATAGATATGACTAATCATTGCTTTGCTGTTGTTGATGTCAGATATACACTGATCCCTTCTCTAGGGTCTGATGTCAGATATACACTGATCCCTTCTCTAGGGTCTGATGTCAGATATACACTGACCCCTTCTCTAGGGTCTGATGTCAGATATACACTGATCCCTTCTCTAGGATCTGATGTCAGATACAACTTGATCCCTTCTCTAGGATCTGATGTCAGATATACACTGATCCCTTCCCTAGGGTCTGATGTCAGATATATACTGATCCCTTCTCTAAGGTCTGATGTCAGATATACACTGATCCCTTCTCTAGGGTCTGATGTCAGATATACTCTGATCCCTTCTCTAGGGTCTGATATCAGATATACACTGATCCCTTCTCTAGGGTCTGATATCAGATATACACTGATCCCTTCTCTAGGGTCTGATGTCTGGTATACACTGATCCCTTCCCTAGGGTCTGATGTCAGATATACACAGATCCCTTCTCTAAGGTCTGATGTCAGATTTACACTGATCCCTTCTCTAGGGTCTGATGTTAGATATACACTGATCCCTTCTCTAGGGTCTGATATCAGATATACACTGATCCCTTCTCTAGGGTCTGACATCAAATATACACTGATCCCTTCCCTAGGGTCTGATGTCAGATATACACTGATCCCTTCTCTAGGGTCTGATATCAGATATACACTGATCCCTTCCCTAGGGTCTGATGTCAGATATACACTGATCCCTTCTCTAGGGTCTGATATCAGATATACACTGATCCCTTCCCTAGGGTCTGATGTCAGATATACACTGATCCCTTCTCTAGGGTCTGATGTCAGATATACACTGATCCCTTCTCTAGGATCTGATGTCAGATATACACTGGTCCCTTCTCTAGGGTCTGATGTCAGATATACTCTGATTTTATCTTGATGTCAGATATATACACTGCATGATCCCTTCTCTAGGATCTGATGTCAGATATACACTGATCCCTTCTCTAGGATCTGATGTCAGATATACACTGATCCCTTCTCTAGGATCTGATGTCAGATATACACTGATCCCTTCTCTAGGGTCTGATGCTAATATACACTGATCTCTTTCCTTTTCTGTCTCAACATTGTGTCCAGAATTTGAAGGTCAAACCTACAGGAATTCAAACATCTCCCTCTTCTACTCCTAACATAAAGTACCCCCGAGAAATATGACCTCTGGTGTAAGGGTGTGTTCAACAATAAAATAAACCAGAAGTCTCTGATGAGACTGTAGCTCTACTGGTTTGTATTTATAACAAAGGAAGAGAAAAGTAGCACTTGCACTGGAAACTACTCAAAAGCAATAGTACAACGGTCCTTGGTTTAGTCTCTTTTTGCGGCAAGATTTATTGCAATCAGATTAAAACTGTTGGAAGAGTAACCCTTTGAAAGAATTTCATGAAAATTTCCTATTTTTAGAAACCATGGCAAGACTGTTCAACAAAATTAAAAACTAACATAAAATTATGTATCTCAGTTAGTCTACTTGTGTGCAAAGTTATATATTGAAATCAGATGAAAACTGTAGGAGGAGTACCATTTTGGAAGTATTTCACAGAATTTTCTATGTCTAGTAACCATGGCAACACCATCATTCCAAATCAAGAAACAATACACAGAATTATTTATCTGAATTTGAAACCTTGTGTCCAAATTATATTGAATTCAAATAAGACCAAAACTGTAGGAGGAGTAGTGTTTTGAAAGTATTTCACAAATATTTCTAATTTTAGTAACCATGGCAGCAACATTCACAAAAAAAAATTGATAAAAAGAATAATGTATAATAGTGTAGTCTATTTGTGTGCCAAGTTATATTAAAATCAGACAAAAACTGTATGAGGAGTAGCATTTTAAAAGAATTTCACAGAAATTTCTATTTTTGGAACCATGACGACGTCATTCCAAATCAAAAACTGATGCACTAAATTAAGTATATTAGTGAAATCTACTTGAGTGCCAAGTTATATTGAAATCAGACTAAAACTGTAGGAGGAGTAGCATTTTAAAGGAATTTCAGAGAAATTTCTATTTTTAGTAACCATGACAACACTGTTCAACAAAATCAAAAACTGATGCATTTAATTATGTATCTTAGTGTAGTGTACTTGTGTGCCAAGTTATATTTAAATCAGACTAAAACTGTAGATGGAGAAGCATTTTGAAAAATGTTTACAGACAGATGGACAGGTAGACAGAGGGACAGATGATGCATGGACACATTACTATTGCAAAAGGTCTTCTGGTATCCGACCAACAGAACTAAAAACACTTTATCATAGCTCTTCCTTCATTATTTATTCATCAAACAGTTAACAATATACATTTATGAAGAAATACATTCATTATATTTACACAACAGTATAGAGATTGTGGTACTTGTATAAACCAAATAGTCTTCCCAAGTGTAGAGATTGTGGTATGTACCACATAGTCTTCCTAAGTGTAGAGATTGTGGTATATACCATATAGTCTTCCTAAGTGTAGAGATTGTGGTATATGGTTTTATATTTTAGTCTTTGACCATAATGCTACAGATCCCCTAATGCAAATAGGGTGCAATTTATGGCCCAAGACTTTCTGCGCACGGCTGGGGAATTTCTCCATTTTCCAGCTTTGGTCAATCAACTACTTTTCACTCCTTAATTCTAGACATATTCTTTAACCAACCTGTATAGTTTATCCACATCCTAACCCTTCATATTCATCTCTATAGACCAATAAACTCGTTTCTTTTGAATTTTTTTGTTGGATGGCATAAAAACCAAAACAAGCCAGTTTATTGCTCTGTAGAGACGACTATGGAGGGTTAGGAGGTGGATAAAATATACAGGTTGGTTAAAGAATATGTCTAGAATTAAGGAGTGAAAGGTCATTGATTGACCACTGCTGGAAAGTGGAGAAATTCTCCCCAACCCACTACAGAAAATCTTGCGCTATAACTTGCACCATATTTGCATTATGGGATCTGTAGTGTTATGGTCAAAGACTAATATATAAAACCATAACAATACAGTTCTGCAGCTAAGTATATACCAAATAGTCTTTCGTAAGTTTAGAGATTGTGGTATATACCACATAGTCTTTTTAAGTGTAGAGATTGTGGTATATACTAAATAGTCTCCAGCAAAATCATTTTTTTTAATAAAATAATTTTTATAATGAACTAAGTACGTAACAAATTAGAAAGCTACTCGATACAACCTTACAGAGTAAAAAAAAAAAATTTAAGTTCCTCTCAAAATTAGTAAATCAAAATTTTCCAAAAGAATTAAATACCACAGCAAAAAAGATAAAAACCCAGTAAGTAACTTAATCCATTAATACAGAGCTTAGAAGTACGTTAATTGTAAAAACTGAAACTTCCCCTTGGAGAACTAATCAAGGAATGTTAAGTGTTACCTTCATTAAATCTAGAACTCGGCAGTACAGATATATCTTGTATTACTTTCATCTTTCCTGTCTTCATACATCACTCGGCAGTACAGATATATCTTGTATTACTTTCATCTTTCCTGTCTTCATACATTACTTTTGCCCATTTACTTACTTTTGCCTGTAATAACACTTGGATGGCAAATTATAATGAAAATCCAACAATCTTATGAACATCCAAAGTCAAATCAAACACCAGTAGCTTAAAACAAGACAGAGTTTCACAAGAATGTCACTTATAGCTGAAAAGAAAGTCACTTATATATGGTACTTTGACAAGAAGATGAAACAATGGACAGAGCTATGACAATATGGCATGAATTTCTTGTGGTAGTGAGTCAGGTAGAAGACTCTGGGTCCCAGCTCTCATCTGTTTCATCAGAAGCGTACTCAGACAGGAGTTGACCCGCTGATTTAGGAATGAGAACCTCGTAGTCACTACCTGTGTCATACACTGATGGAGATGTTGTAACACTGTCCTCTGGGGAAGTCCCAGGCTCCCAGGTGTAATCTGTGTCTGAATTGTAGTTTTCTGTATCCAGTCCTGAATACTCAGACCTTGTGTCTTGTACTTGAAATACTCTCTGTGATGTCACTGTACATTGCCTAGAATTTGATCTTTGACCTTTTGGATGGTGCTCTGTGGCACTGGTTCCACATCCAGGACATGACCTCTGATTTCTTGGTTGGTTATGGTACTCTGTGGTACTAGTTCCACACCTAGAATTTGACATTTGACCTTGTGATTGGTGCTCTGTTGTCGTGGTGTCACATTTGGTATGGTGTGATGAGGAAGTGTCTGAGGACGATCCCATTAAAGTTTGAAAAGTTTTATCCTGATCTGTTTTTCTTCGTTTGCTATCAGTTTCGTCATTAACATTGGTAGAATTTGGAGTTTCTGTTCTCTTTCGTTTAGAGGTCAATCTTGGTTGAACATTTTCAGTACTACTAAAGCTTCCCTCTCCAATTCCACTGTCACTCTGTGACCTTTTAGTAGCAGATTTTTCACCAGAGTTTGTCTCCTTGCCATAGCATATCTGCTGAGACCTTGTATGTGGCCTCTCAGGGGAGTGACTTCCTCTATGATGTTGCTCAGGTTGATTCCTGGTGCGACTTCTTCTATGATGTTGATCAGCTTGATCCCCGTAGTGCTTTTCTCTCTGATGTTGCTCAGGTTGATCCCTGGAGTGACTTCCTCTCTGATGTTGCTCAGGTTGATCCCTGGAGTGACTTCCTCTCTGATGTTGCTCAGGTTGATCCCTGGAGTGACTTCCTCTCTGATGTTGCTCAGGTTGATCCCTGGAGTGACTTCTTCTCTGACGTTGTTCAGGTTGATCCCTGGAGTGACTTCTTCTCCGACGTTGTTCAGGTTGATCCCTGGAGTGACTTCTTCTCTGACGTTGTTCAGGTTGATCCCTGGAGTGACTTCCTCTCTGATGTTGTTGTTGATCCCCAATATTCCTCCTTCTTGGCAACCATTCTCTGGTGACACGATGTGCATCATCACTACTATCCATTTCCTCACTTTGATCTGACGGTCTTCTGCTCCTTTGTATTTCTCTCCTGTTGTAATCCCCTCCAGTTTGCCTTCTGTAGTCTAAGTCTTCTTGATGGGAGAATCTTGAGCTTGTTCTTGAGACAAGACTGTCATTGTCAGATTCCATGTCTGTTCCATCTCTGTCTGAATTGTGGCTTGATTCACTTCTATCAGAGTAACTACAACTTCTTGAGCGAAAATGATCCGGTGAAGTAGGGCTGGAGGGAAAATAATCTGGTGAAACAGGGCTTGATCGTGCCCTTGAATGTGACCTTGAATAAGATCTTGAACGGGATCTTGAGGATGAATTCAAGCGTCTGGATGAATGCCTCCTCCTAAAATGATACAAACTGGATTCACCAGATAGAATAGAGTTTGGACTTGTACTTCTTGAAGACCGAAATGATCGACCTGGAGTACTGAATTCACTGCGTCTAGATCTATCACTATAGTGAGAACTCCAGCTACGATTCCTCAAAGTTCTATTTGAGCTGCTGCTTCTTGATGAATGGTGTCTCCTTCTACGAGTTTCTCGTGAAGAACTCCTGGAATTATCACGTGAGAAGGAGTGCCTGGATTGATAAGATCTTGAGTGATAAGACCTCTCAGATGAGTCATCATTCCAATGTCTGCTATGATGCGATGTTTGGGGTGAGTAAAGTTGATGCTGCAGAATATTTCTATCTACATCAGATTCATTCACTACATCTACTTCCACATCACTTCCATCTTGGTCATTAAATGGGGAGGGAGATCTAGGGGGAGTGTTAACAACATCTATTTCTCCAGAAAGGTCCTCCCTAGAATCTCTCTGCTCACCTCGCCTGTAATGCCTTCTCCTTCTTCTTGGACTATCACCAAAGTCTCGCATGCTTCTCCAAAAGTTTCTGTCCTGACGATCAAATTCTTCAAAAGTCATGCCATGCCTTCTGTCTTCAGTGTCTGAGAATCTGTCACTGTACTGGCTATAGTCATCCAATGAACTCATTGAATAAGCTGGACTCTCACTTGATGACATCAAATAATCATAAGATGGGCTTCTCCCATGTTCTCGTCTAAGTGCTTCAATTTGTTGGTTTAATTTTTCAGTCATTGTGTTTAGCTCATTTACTTTTTTCTTCAGGGTATCAACTAGGGAATATTGTTCTGAAAATAACCAACCAAATATTTTAAAAGTTAGTGTTTAATTTTTCTTTGCAAAGCTAAATATTTTCAGTGATAAAAATTAGGGTTAATTTAATATAATTTAGCCAAATAAATATAATTCAGCCAAGACAAGAGCTATTCACATTCAGTTAACTGAATAATAATAACTTTACATCAAAAATCACCAAAATGTCCCTTTAAAAGAGATGAAAGTGGCAGAAAATTCAGGGTACCTAAGGAGTATTTCCTGAGCTCTTCAATACAGTCATGTCCGTCATAAATTCGCACTGGAATCATCAAGCCACACACCCTGGTACACAATTTTTCTCTGTGTTCACATTCTTCTTCTTCGTGTTTTTTCAGAAACTTGCGTAAAACTGATTCAAAACATTTTTCATATTTACAATTCATCATTTTGAAGTCACACTCATTGATATGTTTGTCGTACATCTCCAAAGTCACTCGTTCCTGACAACCATTAATTCTAAAATCGCAAAACATCGACAAACGGTTTAACATATTTTGTACAATAGGAAGGATTGGTTTAAGATGTCTTGTTTTCAGTCGATGGCGACATGTTGGACAGTTTCTGTTGTGACGCAGCCATGTCTCTATACAGATTTTACAGAAGACATGACGACATGGGCTCTCTACTGGTCCATCCAGCACACACTGACAGATACAGCAGATCAACTCTGGATCAGGTGGGGAATCAAACTTCTCCACATCAAAACGAGACATGTCTGCAAGAGATCAATCATTCACTCACACATGTATTGTCTGTCCATTAATAAGGTCAATCCAATATAAATGTTTACAAAAAATGATACAGTTAAAGAAGTTTATTGTTAACATTAATTGTAATAATAATTAATAAATGTCTTGAAATCCTATCATATCAATATGTATCAATTGTTCAATTTGTGTAACCCAGTCACTTTCATTTTACTCACTGTAGCAGAGCTGTTTACTGAAATAATTGTTTTTTATTATTAAGAAACAAGTATTTTACTATAAATTTGGGATGTCAAATATTTTATTTACCATATATAAACATCTGACACCCATTCATCAATGTATTACATACACTTTTTTCTGAATTAATTTTTTAACCGATATTATGACAGTGACGAAAGGTATCCAACTCCAAATTACATGGAGTAACTCCCTCCCCAGAATCACAGTCAATTATGCTTTGGGGAATATGTACTTCACAAACTGTGTATTACCATTTTCTTTTAGGATAATTTTAATATCTCCAAAACCATACATGGCAAGCTTGTCTTTATTTTCTTTTAAATATCTGTAAACAGCATCAAAACTCTGCTTACTGACTGGAAAATTTGTTCACACAACAAAGTGCTATGTACTAATCTCTGATGAAATATCTAGTTAAATTTTGATTGACTAAAAGACTGTTTCTAAAATTACATCAAACAAATATTGTCATTTATTTATGCAAAAAAAAGTAAAATAATTATATTTATCAACCGCAATATATATACATTGGGATTGAATTTTTAAACCTACTGCTTTCTTCCCAAGACTGGTACATAGCTTTTGGTGATGTGAACACAGGTACTTGTGGACTGGACCCCCCCCCCGATATTCAACCCCGGGGCTTGTTGGACATTTTTTCACAAATTATATTTATTAAACTTATTCATCATGTGTACCATATGAAAAAATTGTGAAAACCCCAAAATAATCGTTCCACACAAAACTACCCCACTATACATTATAAGAGAGAAGGGTATGCCACTTCGGTTTGTTTACGTTGTACCCCCACTGGTCTTTCTGGGTTTAAAAACATGTATTTATTTTATTTTAACCTAAAATGTCGGTTCACACTGTCTCTACATATATTTCTGTCTTAGTTCATGCTATCGGATTGACTCTGCATCTCGTAAGAATCCCACAATTTCTCCTTAAACAGCATTGCAGTCAGTGCATTGAAAAATTAATGTTTCACTTATTACAATAACGTTCGAGAGAGTTTTGGCCTGATGTAATAATCTCTCTCGGGTGTTATCATCGGTTATTATAATATTGTCTTCAGTGACCTCTCCAATTGCTGGCATATTTTCTGGTTATTTCTCTCTGCTAGACGTTCATACATAAAAGATTGACCATCCATAACCAAAGGAATATGGCCGATGTCAAAATTTCAACCGGCCATATTGTGTAGACTATTTATTTAACGTAAATATCTATTCAATATATTTTTTCTTACAATAAAGCTTTACTAGTTCTAATTAACCATTGACATCTATGACGTTTCAGTACCATGTGACACCTACCTAATTAGTGGAGATTTTACTTCGAGGACCCTATATTATGGACGTTTCATCGTCTAATTATGACCGTTTTCAAAATTAATTCATAATTAAACGATAATTATATGTTTCAATAATATAATATTGTTTCATTTAAAAGAAATTTAGATACGTGATAAATACACTTTAAAAGGATGTCCAAAACCAATAGTTTAAGTCTGCTGGGAATTCATTTCAGCCCGCATTGATCGAAACAAGCTGTCAAAGTCCGGGCAAGATTTCCTGAGTCACTTTGTGTGCCACTGGTCTGAGATTTTTGAAGAGATCTTGGAACGACTTTATTTTACCGGTCCCCAGAAAAAATGTGCTAAAATATAGTGTCGCCGTAGGTGACTTTGGTATATATGAGATCGCGTGAGCAATAAAAAAAATAAAAAGTATGAAGTTTTGGCCTTTTTTACTCCAAAATCGAAATCTCCGGTTTAAAGATTTTTTTTTTTAAAATGAAGTTTTGAACCTGGTTCTCCAAAAAAAAATCAATGTATATTGTTTATTCATTGAAAAATCGACATTGTCAACGAAGCGAGTGCGGTGCATGCTTAGCGATGTTTCTTTCGTACTTAGCCATTTACCATTTTTAAATGAAGTTTTGAACCTGGTTCTCCAAAAAAAATCAATGTATATTGTTTATTCATTGAAAAATCGACATTGTCAACGAAGCGAGTGCGGTGCATGCTTAGCGATGTTTCTTTTGTACTTAGCCATTTACCATGTAAACAAACCAACGAAATGCCCTTGAAGCTGAATTAAGATCTTGCAAAAAATGAATTTCTTAATTTATCTAAAAGAACGAGTCACTAACCCAAATCTCTCGGGTGGTATGCTAGGCATAACACAAATAACCGGGACAGATGCTAGAGTAACCCTAATCAGTCAAATAATGTGGGAGGACTAACCCTAATCTCTCGGATGGATGCGACACTAACCCTAATCAGTCAAATACTTGTGCAAGGACTAACCCCAATCTCTCAGGTGGGTGCAAAAGTAATCCTACCCAGCTGGGTAGTGTGCAAGACTATAGGCTTAACCTTTATCAGTTGAGTGACGTAAATCATACGTCATAGTGCAATGAACAGGCGGATCTGGGGACCAGTAAAGTCTACCCGAGATCTATGACAAAAATTTTTAGACTCGACAAATTTCCCTGAGATTAAAGGTATATAAACTTAAATGCTTCATAACTGCATATTTATCATAAAGCAATAATGCTCTTCATGAAATATGCCAGTGTGATCAAAGCATCAGTTCACGCCTGCATAAGTTTTCAAAAATTAAATTCATTTCTTAATGAAACAGTTATAAACACAGGCATGCCACACATACAAGGTCCGGCACAATCTCTTGATTGAGCTATATAGCTTGATTTAGCTATATAGCTTTATTAAGCTATTCAGAATAGCTTGATTTAGCTATTTTATTAAACTTTTTTCTCAAATGTGTTATTTTCCAAGTATGCACAAAAAGTCGCACCTTGGTGCAGTGATGATATTCAACCTTGAACTCTCATGAAAATAATGCATGTAAAAATCACTCATCAAATTGCGTCTCCTTAAGAGACTTTGTACTCAAAGTTCTAAAAGTTTTGGGGCTATATAAAGCAATTGATATAGTTACTTCTTCAATGAAATTATAAAGGAGGCCAATTATGGTCAACAAGATAATTCAGTACAATGAGAAGCAATCATACTTATCCATGCCTCAACGCACACAAGGTAGTGTACAGTTACCCAAACAATGGAAATTCATCTTTTGCTTAAAAGTATTCAAATGCTGCAATGTTAGAACTATCTTTGATTTGGGTTGTTGATTTGATAACCCATATTACATATATGAATAGTCAAATACTTGCGACTTTTTGTCTATTTTGCACAAATAACATTTTTGTGAAAACCTACATATAAAGAGCTTTATCAAGCTATTTTGAATAGCTTAATAAAGCTATATAGCTATTTCAAGCTATATAGCTTAATCAAGAGATTGTGCTGGACCTGCATATTGTATTTGGTTTTGTAAATAATTTATCAGAGAAGAGAATGGTAATAAACAATTTGCCATTGCGTTTTATCTGAAAGCGTAAATGATTCCGATTTGGGGAAAGGTGTTCTCCATGTAATTCGGAGTTATATTTTTGTTATACTGTGGGGTAAAAAAATATTACAGAGACATAACTGTGATAACGTTTGACTCTGCAGCTGTTGAATAATCTATTCTTGCAGTCATTAAAACAAGGCGAACCCTATTATTTACCTCTGTCTTCACACAAAAGTATTTTGTAAATTTACAAAATCTTTCATTATTTAGGTCTATGATATGTTATATATCTCAGTCAGTCTGTGTGCGTCCTCCATCTTTTTTCAATTTTTGCATTGTAAGTACACAGAAGAGTTCCAATGAAACAGAGTTGTTCCTCTTGGAGTATGTTTGGAAACTTCCGGTGCACGTGTTTACCATAATCATGATGTTCATCAAGTGACAACAACTAAAACTATGACACAGCTGAAAGAAAAGTAAACTATTTTTTGTAATTTATCTAAAACCGAACTTTTCAAATTGAAGATTCACAAACAGCCCATTGATTGTTTTAAGATAGTGTTGACAATGCATAGATGCATAGTGCACATGTATGTGCTCATACCTGTATATTATCCTTTCAGATGTGTTTAAGCTCACAATTGTTGGTATTTGTTGGTGTTTTGCATAGGGAATATGTCCATTGAATTTTCAAACTGTTTTTTTAATTTGCAGTTTTGCTGTAGAAACAAAGCATGAGCCATTTTTCACAGGAGGAAAAATTTATGTAAGTAATATATATTCATAGCAGACTCGACTAATTAGAGAATAATTTAATTCTGGTTGTAACGCTGTATTTGATTGGATAAAAAATTTACTTTGTACCATATAAAATGGGTTGCCAACGTCACAATGACTTGCTTAAAAACATATCGATCCGCCTGACGTTAAATTCAAATTTTGAACAAATTGTAGTCATTTTTTAAGGACATGCAATCATCTTTTTTTCTGACACCAAATGAATGAAAATTAAATTATAAAGAATGAATTTAAAAGCTATCCAATTTATACGGTATATAAACTGGGTTGGAACATTTTACGCTTTTTTATAAACTGCTTGGCGGTTTATAAAGCGTAAACTGCCCCCAACCCAGTTTATACCGTATAAAATGGATAGCTATTAAATTCATTCCTTAAATAAAAAAATGTTGCCTGCACATGCGCCCTACATAATAATGATCTGCATGATTATGAATTCAGATTTCTAACAATGGCACATACATGTTTTGTGGATGTGGGAACAAGATTCACATATTGGAGGTAGAATCAGGCCAAACCAAATTCACATTATCTCAGGTTTGTTGAGCAATAAAAACTATGATTTAAAATATTTTTAGCATATCTTTTGTTATGATAGTTCATTTGATGAAGCTTTCTCAGTTTCAGCTGGCATTTGTCAGTGGTTGTCATGGCACACCCGAAATCCAACAAACTGATTAAAACATGTAAAACATGCAGTTATTAAATTTACAGACATCTATTATGCAACAGATAGACAATAGTATCTTGGACATAGTACTGTATATGGAAAAATGAATTATACAAATTTTTGGTTCACTGGAGCTTAAAGCTAAAGTGAGCTTTTCTGATCACATTTTTACCAGCGTCTGCCTCACAGTCTGTCATCCGCCTGTAAACTTTTCACATTTTCAACTTTTTCTCAAGAACTATTGGGCAAATTTCAACCAAACTTGCCATAAAAGCATTATGATTCCTTTGGCAAAGAGGATTCAGGTTTGTTCAAATGAAGGGCCACACTTATGGGAAATATCTAAGAATTAGTTAAAATTAAATGGCACATACCTTTCAAAAGTCGTCTTCTCAAAAACGACTGAGCCAAAAAAATTGAAATTCATGTGAAAGTTTCATTACATAGTTTAGTTTCAAGTTTGTTCAAATCATGACTTCCAGGGATAGGGTGGTCCCACAATAGTTGATCAAAGTTTTACATAAGAATATATAGGAAAAAATCTTTGAAAATCTTCTTCTTAAGAATCACTAGGCCAGAAAAGTTGAAACATATAAGTGGGTGGGGTGACAATGGGCAATCGGAGTTTACATAGGAATACATTGTATATAGGAAAAAAACTTTTAAAATCTTCTTCTCAAGAACAGCAAAGCCATGGTTAGTCATGTTAATTTGGAAGCATCCTCAGGTACTGTATCAGAGTTTTTGAAATCCACTGGTCCCACCAGCAAAACCGGTAAATATTTCAAAAGTCCAGTAATTGTCTTCATGTAATCGGTCCGAGCGACCTGTAAAAAAAATTTTGACCTTTCCGGAATTTTAACCTCTTAACCATGTTAACCTGTGGATGTTAAGTTTATTTGTGAGATCGTCAAAACAATTGAATCTGAGTGTATGATAGAATAAACTCAATTGCTTTTAGGACAGTTAGTTTTTCACAAAATGGCGGCGCTGGGGCCTAATTAATTTGGTAAAAGAAAATCAGACCCATTCAAATTACCCCCGCCATATCTGTGTTTGTTCAGTCAGGTGATTCAAATTATACAAAAAATGTTAATTGTCCAACTAGCTTTATTCGGATATAACGTATGTCAACCTAATCATCATTTCCCTTAAATATACAGAGTAATGATTATTGTTACATCAAGCATTTCCCCCACAACATTTAGATGTTTGTTTTCTACCCTAGACAGCCATGCATGGTGTCCACTGTAAATATCACACCACCTGGTTAATTCAGTCCTGGGATGTTTGACTCTCTCATTGATTAACCAAAAAAAAAAAAAAATAAGTAAATAAAAAAATCTCTGACCTACCAACCCCTTGATTTTTTTGGAATGTTACAGTAAACACACATAATTTTTTAAGGCCTAACTGGAATTAAAACAATTTCTCAGGTTTTTGATTTTTTTTTTTTAAGTATCTCAATATGTATGCTGATGGACCAGTGAATATTTGTGTAGGCCAGTGAATTTCACTAAATCACTGATCCGCTTGACCAGTGAATATTTTTTTATTTCAAAAACTCTGCTGTATATTCAAATATGTTCATATCATGACCCCTGGGGATAGAGTTTGTTCAGATCAGGTCCATCGAGAATAGATTTAGACTACAATAGGGGATCAGAGTTTACAATAAAGTATATAGGAATAAATCTTTAAGAGAGTGGCAAATATTAAGAAGCAAAACATACCTAAATTTTGCAGGATCTTTTTTTTTTGAATTATGAGCCCTAGGGTTAGGGTTGGGCCAAAATCAGAGGTTCAAATTTTACTATGCTTTGCACAGGAAAAAATCTTCTCCAGAACAGCAAGGCCATATCAATCGTATTGATTGTAATTGTAATACATGATTGTATAAAATTTATATAGCACTCTATTAATTTGAGTCCTCTATAAAGTGCTTTACAAGTAAAATATATCAAAAGAGATAATTGATATTGAAGCATTCCATGTTGTGTGGATTCAACCTTGATTAAACAATAGGTCCACATTATAAAGTCAACAATATTTTGAAATTAAGGCCATATAAATTTAAAATTTAGATTCTCATCCTAATTTGCTGAAACATTGGGGCGGGTGGGCGGATTTTATTTTTTATTTTTTATAAATGAAAGTATCAACAACACATTCGTACACTTGATTTTTACATTATGTTAATGCCAATATGAATAGATTTTATTGTTTTCATATTCTTTTAATATCTACAGAAGATTCTTGTTATAGAAAATTAAAATATTTATAGTTTTATTAACAAATAATCAAGTACATAGATACAGCACACGCCAAACAAAATGAGGTGCTGATCCTAATAAATTGCATATGCATGTTTTCTCATCGGCCTTTCCCCAAATACCTTATAGTTTTACCAACAACTCCTTCTGTTCTGTGTGGTATACAGATATCACAGATTTCCACTGTCCTCATACACTCAATCGTTCTTGAGACTTGACATGTTCGACATTAAATATATCAAATTTGCAAAACAGGATTGTTTAAATCTGTAAAATATTCTACTGAAAAGCCTAGGCCTGAACAGTTTTAAGATTTAACATTTCCTTAGCACTATTATTCTCTAAAGTCTTTGGACGATGTTTTTTTTTAAATGCAAAATCACATACATCTGGAGATCGTTATTTAAAACTTGACCATGTGTCATTTTCTTTGTCTGTTTTTACTTGGTTAAAATCTCTTTAAAAACTTGCCCATGCCAGTGATGGTATCTAGATGTGTTTATATGTTATTTTTGCTTTTCTGCCTTCTCATTACTGACAAATTATCTTTTCCTTACATATTTAAACTGCTTTTATTGCCGATATTTCTCCATTCTTCACATAGTTTTTTTTGCTATAAATAGCGCCACGCGACTTTTAATACAGACGGGAGATAACTCTTAAATTTTGACCCAGATTCTTGCTGAATAAAAATACATGAAAATAATACGTTTGGCACCGAAAAAGCAAAATAAAAAACAACGGGGCGGGGCACTTTGAGAGGGGCGGGCGGGGATGAGAATCTAAAGATTAATTTTACCTGGCCTAAAGAAGGAATTTTTGAAAAATAATCCACTGACTAGAACAGCAGGGCCAAAGTGACTCGGGTGAGTGTTGAGGCCCATTGGCTTTTTTTTTATATCAGGAAGAAGATGAAGAAATAACCCATTTCTGTCTATCTCCAAATAATGAGGTAATCATTCTGTAGATACTAAACCAATGTATACTTCTTAACTTGTATTTACATAATTAATAGGGATGTCAACGAGTACCCAGTTAACTGGGTACTCGATCGAACGTCCGAGTATCGAATACCAAAATCGGTATGTGGTTATTAATGGATGTATATTTTTTCATATTTCAAAGTGCATATATTTATTAAAAACTTTCCAAAAAATGTGATTTAAAAATGCACCGTCCATGTCTTCACAGTAATTAACGTCACCTACACCAGTTAATACCCGTTATTGCCTGTGGCTGTGTACATGTATATACAGTAATTACCAGGACCAATCACTGGACACCATACACAGATGTTTTCACCTTTTGTGACTCTAATTTTTGGATAGCTTTAATTATTTGTTTTCAATGAACATCGTTTAATTATGATATATTAATTATCCTTAGATTATTTAATTAGCTTACGGTAGCAAAATCAGACATACATAGCAGACATACCTCTACCAAATGAATTCAAAAGCAAAGAAATATTTAAAAGAAACCGAAGATTTAAAAAAAAATGTTAAAAGTCAGTTGTGCATTGTAAATTTATCTTGTACAGGGGAAACATATATTTAGGGAATCACTGTCTAGTTTGTTGGGTATGCCAGGGCATCAACGGCAGTGCAATTGGAAACATGGGATAATTTATGCAGAACGGGTGAAGTTGTTAATATTGAGAAATCAACGTACTTATCTTTAAAGTTATCACAGAGAAAACATTTGGAAATGTAATAATATATACGACTCGTGATCACAACAACGTCCATTCCCAAATATATTCTTTTTTGCTAGTCTAATCATTACAAAGTTGTGTCCTTCTCTTCCGTTGATTAAATTGTCTTCCTAAACAAGAACTGTAAAGCATTAGTATTTATTTGTGTATTAGTTGATCATGTCTTTTGTGGTTGTTTGATACATAAATTAAGTACCAAAAATCGTTTTCGTTGGGCTTGATGTTTATGCACATGCATTTTAAACAGGTCTCAATGAAATCAACAAACTTTTACATGTATACACTTTTTCTGAGTACCCGGGTACTCAATCGGAAAATCGGAGTAACCGATTATCAAATATTGACTGATTTGACATCCCTAATAATTATTGGTAATTTATTTTTTATGTTTCACAATATTCATACCGTGTTTAATTAACATTGGTTATTTGAAATGATGCACATTATTTTAACTTCACTCTGTGAGTGTTATCTGAATGCTGTTTTCTTTTAAGTGTCATATTATCTCATTTGGATACTAAAGTATTTAAACAGCTCTGTGTCCACTTTCAGTATATAGTATAAACAGCTCTGTGCTCCACTTTCAGTATATAGTTGTAGCCACAAAACACCTGGTTTTGAGACAGTGGAACTGGAAAGATCAGGTCCTGGTCAGGTCATGGAAGGTCAGTACACAAGCTTGAAGGTCATAAACCTTATAAGAACTTTTAAATTATTAGATTTTTTTGTTAAAAGATAGTCTGAATAAAAACATCTTCTTATAAAGATTCGTGCAATAAATAGATGATTAAGATTTGGCAGTGTTAAAAATAGATTATGATTTTTCTCTTCTGTGCCTCTCAGGTAGCTGTAGGTTTTACTGTCAATATGAGATCGCGTTCAGGGAAGAGAGGGTTAAAATCTAGGTCTAAACATGGCTAGGATAAGGTGACCCATAAAATATTCCAAAGCATTGAATGGGAGGATTGTAGCATTGAGACAGGATCAATTTATCATTACAGTCGCTTGCAGATATACTTAAAGCAGAGTGATAGAGCACCTGTCCATTGTTATGGTGACTTATGGCATTTGTTTCTAATTGTGTACTTATTTTTCAGGCTATTCATATATCCGCTGTCCTGGCAATGGACTTTGACATGTCCTCCACCTTGTTAGCAACAGGAAGCTCTGACACTACCATTAAACTGTGGGACATTGACAAGCAATACTGTACACACAACCTCAAAGGTCATACTGGGGTCATAAGGTGAGAGGTCACAGACACTGTAGTCCCTTTTTTTTATAGATAACTCTTCACCTGGGCTGTGTTCAATATCCTAGTGGCTAAAATCTTGTACAATTTGCTAGCCTAGCCATGATGAGCATTAATTCATACAGTGTGTTCAAAACATCCTAGATCTCTAACATAACAGCTAGACTAGCTGCTACGATCTTGAACACGGCCTTGATATATACAAAAATGTTCAACAAAACTTATTTAAGCAATTTCTACATGTATCTCAAAATCAAAGTTTTCTGTGTTTGTTTAAAAATTTATCCATAGAAATTATTAGAATTCGACAAATTACAATTTTTTATGGTAGTATTTTCATTTACATGCTAGATGAATGAATAGGGTGTTCAGTGTCACATTATTACACAGAATGTAACTATGAAATTGTTTTCTAAAGTTTGATATGAAAAGTTTGAATGCTCTTTAAGGATTGTATATGTATGTGTAGGGACTATGTACAGAAAAGTATGCTATATGATATTCATGTGACAGTTCAGGCCCATTGGGCATCTGATTGGAAAACTTCAATTGTTGATATTGAAAAAGCACTCACATCTTAAAACTATCAACTGTTAACTTACAAATTAAATTAAAATATCCTGTGTATGGTCAGGTTTTTTGAAAAAGAGGAAAATGAATAAATGTACAAGATTAAAAAAGAGTCCCTTTAGGGATCATTATCTTGATGTGGTGAAGTTATTTTGATGTGGTGAAGGACTTGTGTGTCTCAGTGACCCAGAGAACTATGCTGGCAGGAGTCACCCTTGCCAGACAGGTTGACAGGTAGAGACCAGACAAAATGTGATCCACTGGTCCTCAAAGGTTGGGTTTCGGGGATAGGGCTCACAACCCTATCCAAGAAAACAACCATGTTATGGAAACAGCAATACTGTCCTAGACACCACAGGGTGTAATGGTCAATGATTGTTAATGAAGAGTATTATCAAAATAAGTAAACAAGCAAAGATTGGGTTTACAGTGTTAACATGTAATTCCTGTCTTGACCAGCATGGTGAAATTTCACCCAGACAATGAAAAACTACAGCTGTTTTCTGCTGCTGATGATTACAAGGTCAAGGTTTGGGATCTAAGGACAAGCAAATGTCTGGTGACTGTGGAGGCCCACTTCAGTGTTGTCACAAGCATGGTCTTCTCACCAGATGGAACCACAATGTACAGGTAATATTTACTTCTCACCATGTGGTACCACTATGTACAGGTAATATTTACTTCTCACCAGGTGGCACCACTATTTACAGGTAATATTTACTTCTCACCAGGTGGCACCACAATGTACAGGTAATATTTACTTCTCACCAGGTGACACCACAATATACAGGTAATATTTACTTCTCACCAGGTGGCACCACTATGTACATGTAATATTTACTTCTCACTAGGTGGCACCACTATTTACAGGTAATATTTACTTCTTACCAGATGGTACCACTATGTACATGTAATATTTACTTCTCACTAGGTGGCACCACTATGTACAGGTAATATTTACTTCTCACCAGGTGGCACCACTATTTACAGGTAATATTTACTTCTCACCAGGTGGCACCACAATGTACAGGTAATATTTACTTCTCACCAGGTGGCACCACTATGTACAAGTAATATTTACTTCTTACCAGATGGAACCACTATGTACAGGTAATATTTACTTCTCACCAGGTGGCACCACAATGTACAGGTAATATTTACTTCGCACCAGGTGGCACCACTATGTACAAGTAATATTTACTTCTTACCAGATGGAACTACAATGTACAGGTAATATTTACTTCTCACCAAGTGATACCACAATGTACAGGTAATATTTACTTCTTACCAGGTGGCACCACAATGTACAGGTAATATTTACTTCTCACCAGGTGGCACCACTATGTACATGTAATATTTACTTCTCACCAGATGGAACCACTTTATGCAAGAAATTTTTATTTTGGATAACATGAGGAAATTACATTTTGTGGTAATGCAACAAATGTAAAAAAAAGTGCAGTGAACAAAAGCTAGAGAATTTATAATGGCTCTTAATTTAAAGGTGCTTGGACACAGATTTGAAGTTAATATTTTCTCAAGTTTTCGGTATAATATCCTGACTTATATGTTGCTATAGCATTTCAAACGAAAATAAAATAAAAAACTTATTTTATCTGGAAATTATTGAAACTACAAATTTTGGGATGCATTTGATTGATACATCCTAGCACTTTTATAAAGCAAACTTTATCCTTAATACTTAAGAAAAGTGAAATTTTTGTTGTGTATTAATGAAATATATTCAAATTATAATCCAGAAAATTCAGAGTAGAAATGTAAGAAAGCAAAACCAACTCACCAGTATTGTCAGTCCGTGCTCAGTGATGTGTGCAGAGTTTAACAAATTGAACACACCCAGTCAAACATAAACATTAACAATAACAGAGCTAGTTTCCTGTTTACAAAAACAGTTTAATTTTCACGGGTGTGTTCAATTTGTTAAACTCTGCACACATCACTGAGCACGGACTGACAAAACTAGTGAGTTGGTTTTGCTTTCTCACATTTCTGCTCTTTATTTTCTGGATTATAGTTTAATATTTTTCATTAATGCACAACAAAATTTTTACTTTTCTTAAGTATTAAGGATAAAGTTTGCTTTATAAAAGTGCTAGGATGTATCAATCAAACGCGTCCTGAATTTTGTAGTTTCAACAATTTCCAGATAAAATAAGTTTTTTATTTTATTTCTGTTTGAAATGCTATAGCAACATATAAGTCATGATATTATACTGAAAACTTGAGAAAATATTAACTTCAAATCTGTGTCCAAGCACCTTTGATTTACTTCAGGTTGTATCACACCAATTAATTGGATAGAAAAAAATTGTTTATATCCTGTAGCCTGTGTTGCTTACGTCACAATGATGTCCACTAAGGACGTATCAATCTGCTTTATGTTAAACATTTGCTCAATTTGAAGGCAATCTTGAGGGAAAAAATTGTCTTATTTTTACATTAAATGATAGAAAATTAAATTATAAGGAATTAATATACCAAATCTACCAAAGTTATATTTATATAACCTGGGATGGAACAGTTTACACTTTTTTAAAAACTACTTCACATTTTATAAAGCGAAAACTGACCCAACGTAGGTTATACAGTGTAACTTGGGCAGCTATTAAATTCATTCCTTAATTTTATAACGTGTATGTAGTTTGGTGCTGACATAGTAATCTATTATTTCCACAGTGGAGGCAGGGATCGCATTATTTCTGTTTGGAATTTAGAGGAACTGAAAGTCATCAAGGCTATACCTGTGTTTGAGGTAGGTTTATACATGTAGAATTTCTGCTGTGTTTGAGGTAGGTTTATACATGTAGAATTTCTGTTAATATATTTGAGGTAGGTTTATACATGTAGAATTTCTGTTATGTTTGAGGTAGGTTTATACATGTAGAATTTCTGTTATGTTTGAGGTAGGTTTATACATGTATAATTTCTGTTATGTTTGAGGTGGGTTTATACATGTAGAATTTCTGCTGTGTTTGAGGTAGGTTTATACATGTAGAATTTCTAGGGATGTCAATTTTGTCAAAAATTCATATTCGAATATTCAATGAAAGTATTCGAATATATTCGAATATTCGATAAAATGATATAAAAAAACTTGTTTATTTTACATATGCATCAAATTACTTTTATAACAGGTTTTTGAGTCTGTTTGATATATGATTTTAACACGTGTTATTAATTACAATTATCTGCCTAATAAAAGATATGATCATAATCTCTCATACAGTGTTTTGAAAATATAACCAAACATACCCATAGATAATTTTGTAGGTCATTAATTAATTAATTTTCCGATAAAGATTTTAAAATTTAGGAGTATGCACAGCCCGAGATAATGAAGTAAATGACACATTTATTCAACAATTGAGCCCAGCAAACTAATTCTACCAAACATATAAATTAATGATCAATGGAATTTATTTTGATTACATGTAGTACTCTCTTTACTTTTTTAGACAGTTTACGATGAATGTCATTCTCGATATGATTGTATTAAAGTATTAAATATAATGAAAGTAAGTTGTATCATACATTAAGATTTCTTGTATTCTTTTATACCTAACTCAAAATGAATTAATTTAGTAGATATGCTACATCTATAAGATAAGAAAGTAATGAAAGAAATATGGCGCTAAAATTTTATTTCTAGTAAATAAAAAAGGGATATTCCCAGCACTGTTCTTATGAAAAGTTATCAATCATAGTAATCCCTTTTTGTGAAATCTGAAAAACACCGAATATTCGAATGTTAAATTCATATTCGAATATCAACTCATCGAATGAATATTCGAATGTTCGAATATTCGTTGACGTCCCTAATAATTTCTGTTATGTTTGAGGTAGGTTTATACATGTATAATTTCTGTTGTGTTTGAGGTAGGTTTATTACAATAGCATTATGCTTATTGGACTAATTTGATGACAGCATAATGTTCACTGGAAATTTAATGAAAGCAAAATATTTATTGGAGAATGTTATCATATAAGCATTGTGTCTGTTGTCTGTTGATGTTTATTATAGAGTGTTTTGTGTGAGCATTATTCTAATTGGAGAGTGTTTTAATATGTCAGTAGCATGTTTTTTGATGTTAACATCATTTTTGTTGGAGAGTGCCTGCACTGATGTGGGGATGGGGCTTTTAACTATTATATAATAACGAGTGTTTTAATTAATGTCAGCAGCATTCTTATTGTTTTTGTAATTTTTATTGGAGTTTTTTAAAAATTTTGTCAAAATGTTGATTGGATTTAGTGTTACCTATCAGCATCATGTTTATTGTAGAGTGTTGAGGCAGTAATCTTGCTGCCCCCAGACCGGGAATTCCCTGACCTTGAAGTCACCGACTCAGGAGTTCCACACATTATAACAGCTGGCAGTAAAGGTCAGATTCTCAGAAAGATTTTCAATTTTTTCTCTTGATTTATTTTAAAAAAAAAAAGACCTCTTCTGTATAGTGTCACATTTACAGGTGTTTTAGGTTGGAGCAGAGAAATTTGTTCAGAATCATCTCTTTTTTCAACTATTCAAGGAATCGCTGTCTAGTTTGTTGGGTATGCCAGGACATCAACGATAGTTGGAAACGTGGGATAGTTTGCATAATGGGTGAAGCCTTTTATGCATAAATTATCCCACGTTTCCAACTATCGTTGATGTCCCTGGAATACCCAACAAACTAAACAGTGATTCCTTATATTTATATTTCTTTGGGAAATAAAATTGTATTTATAAATTAAAAAAAATGTTTTCTAATAGATTTAAAATACATGAGACCTCCCATGTTTATTTCAATAGTCCCCGCCCACTAACGTCAAACACAAAGACAGCCGCACAAGATTGACATGCATATTAGTCTCCTAACCTTTCACTTGGTGAAATTTACATTCTGATTTAATTATCAAGAAATCAACTCACCTAACTTTTAGAGTTATTACAGAGAAAACAATTAAAAATGTAAATATTCTCAAATAAACAGGAACTTCTAAATAAAAATACTTAGATGCAGTTAAAAACGCTTATAAGAAAGTCATTGGAACTTCAAAATTTTACTTCTTTATAATCAAGATTCTTTATATCTGTAATAAAATATAGTGAAAAGTCACCTATAACTGAGACTTCCTTATAAATGAGTTCTGTATAAAAGTTTTACTGTAGTTAGATATTTACGATTATTCAGGGACTTTGCGAGTTTGGAATATTGAAAAATCCAAGTGTGTACATGTAAGGAAGGAACTGATTGGTCGAGCTGTGAACAATGACCAGGATGATCAGAACATTACTCAGGCACTGTACAGTGATGCATTACAGAGTGTTGCCGTAGTTACTTTTGACAACAATATCACATTGTGTAGCCTGGAGGATCTGTCTGTCAAGAAACAGGTCTGTTTGAATTTTTAGACGGAATGTGAAAACTCTTCCCCCAAATTTTAAATTACTTATTTTATGTTACGCCTTTTCTACTCTTTCAAAATAGGAGCATGTAAATATGTCAACTCCAGAAACATGTTAGTAAACTGAGAGGTGTTTTTAATTTTCAGTTTTGTGGTAACACAGACCAGGTATTGGATGTCCAGTTTTTAGGAGCAAAGGATACTCACCTGGCAGTGGCCACAAACAGCGAGCACTTGAAGGTGTTTGAGATTTCCTCCTGGAATTGTCAGCTTTGTTCAGGGCACACGGACATCATATTGGGAGTCACTGTCAACAAGAAGAAAAACTTGCTGGCGACATGTTCCAAGGTAGGAAAAGTACCACATCTTAGAAAACATCATTAATTGATGTCACTGCACCAGAATACTGTAAATTATAATTACTTGATAAAAAGCAGTCAGTTTAAAGTGATTTATATGTAGATATCAAAGTATTTACAGTTACATCATAAAGGTAAGGTGCTTTTTGGTTTTGGGGCATTAAAAAATCAGTGGATAATTAGGGCCCCGCAAGGATTTGCGGGCGCCCTATAGTAATCACTCTGTCTGTCTGTCCGTCTGTCTATCTGTCCGTCTGTCTGTCTGTCTGTCCGTCTGTCATTCTTCCATCCACAAATTTTCTGTTTTTTTCCAATAACTTTTTTTGTAGTTGACCAATTAAGTTCAAATTTGGTATGTTGGTTGAAGAGGCAGTAAGACGTATTTTGATGCTAAGTTTGGTTCTCTATGTCATCCACTTTGGAGCTGGGGTGGTGGGGTAGATTCCTTAACTTTACATTAGAATGAATGCCAGGGCAAAGAGAGATAACTGCTGAGAATGTTCCTATTGTAAACTGTGAAAGCTGCAACTAGTCCCATGGGATTAATTAACTTTCCTCTTGAAGAAAATCCAAAGCATTATCTGTTTCTGTCAAATTGAGATTAATTAGCACCTGCAAATGAAGTTTGTTTTGAAGTTAAGGTCAATTCTGAATGATTTACATTCTCTGAAATGTGGATTTAAATAATGTTCATACTTTATTTTGGTAAAATACACAATGAGTTATGATTTTATTAAATTCTAAAAACAAGATATACATAAAGATTTTTTTTTAAATTTATTTATTCATTCTTTTTTTTTTTTGCTGCCGTATGTAAATTCAAGAATGCTATTAATTTCAACAGGTAGTCCAATAATAAACTCATTCTATCATTACTGCAAAAGTTTTTATTGTAAACTTGGAAGAAAAGGATGTGAGAGCAGTACAATTAATCCCCTGGGATTAATTATCTTGTCTGGGGCAGAAAATTTTCCAGGCTTATCTTTATTTGTCACTTTAAGATAAATTAACCTTTGTCTGCAACTGATGTTTGTTTTGAAGTTAAGGTCAAGCCTGGGTGATATTTGCATTCACTGAAGGCTGGCATTTTATAAAACACATGCTTTGTTCTTGTTTAAATATACATTTAATTGAGTTATTATAGATATGATGTTTTTTACTGCCTTATGTAAATACAGGGATACTCTTTACAGGTTGTTGGATATTTATGAATTATCTTGAAATTTGATAAATACAGTTGTTATTGCATATTCTTCTTCGTATATTTTTTAATTTTTGTAATCAATTAAAATTCTCATTCTATAAGCTGCACCCTTATATTTCTACCCCTCGGCGGGGCCCTTGCTGATTGGTCAGTTTTCTAGTTCTAAATGGATAGAAATTCATATCAGAGGTTTTGTGGACAGGATCTCCATTTTTTTCTTACAGGATAATACAGTGAGGGTGTGGAGATTTGACCCAGAATCCGGACATGTCACCTGTATTGGGGTGGGCCATGGTCACACACATATTGTGAGCACTGTAGCAATGGCAAGGTTTGTTAACAAAAATTGTTCAATGGTAATAACTCTGGTGAAAAGCTTTAGGTAATCTTAACTTTGGTAATCCTGCTGTATACAACACTGAATCATTGTTCATTCAGTATATATTCTTGTACTGGCAGTGTATCAGCTGGCTGGATCGTAAGTGGAGGACAAGATTTTACCCTGAAGAAATGGAAGCTGCCCCAGTCACTGGAGGGGTCCTGTACTGATCTGAGGTGTACTCATACAGAAAGAGTCCATGAAAAAGATATAAACTGTGTGGTGGTGTCCCCTAACGACAGATACATAGCAACAGGGTCACATGACAGAACAGCCAAGGTTAGATCATCTTTTAATTCTACTCCATCTTGAATTCTGTAGTTTTCCTTTGTATTGTAACTGTGTGTAACTTTGGTTTTTTTTACAGCTGTGGGATGCTGAATCCTTTGCTCTAGTCGGCGTAATGAGAGGCCACAAAAGAGGAATTTGGTGTGTCCAGTTTTCACCTGTAGACCAGGTAAAGAATTTAATCAATTTCCAAATGTATCTTTAATAATTTTTGTAAATCTTTGTAAGTTATTGTCAAGAGAATAAAGCTAAATGTTTGACTGTTTAACCTGATACTTTTAATGTTCTTACTTTTTTGTTTGTTTTAGTGCATTGCCACTTCTTCAGGAGATGGAACCATTAAAATCTGGTCTATACAGGGCTTAGAATGTGTTAAGGTGAGATCAAATTAGATAAAATTATCATTTACTTAAACTTTGTCTGACATTATTTAAACAAAAAATGGAGATACAGTGCCCACTGTCCAATCCGACAACTGTGCAATCCGGCACACTGGACTTTCCGACCTCATATTTTATTCCCAAAAATTTCTTTAAATTTTATATAGAACAAAACACTGTATATTCCGACCACTGTACATTCCGAATTCCGGCGCTTTTTTGTCATCAAAACTAGATAATTACATTATGATTTCACCTGGGTAATCCGACATAATTACACGGGTGTTCCGTAATTAGCCGCAGGCCAGGTGACATGAATGCCCCGTTTGGCCACAAGATTGGTCTACTTACAGAGTAGTTAATTACATGTAAGTTTGAAAGTGTTTATGTAAGCGTTAAATGATCAGTTTTTTAATTTAAAAAATTAGGCAATCAATTCTCTTTGTTGTTATCAGTTTTATTCTCGCATTTAAGAAATAGCATCCACGCGACAGAAAATAAAAAGGGTACATGATATTTTGATTCCATTAAGATTTTTAGCTTGAAATTAAAATCAAACATGCAGTCAGTCCTTCATAAAGCCATGTCCCGAAAAAAAAAAGAGTACGGCGCACGTAACATGTAGACAATACACAAGTTGAATTGTACATCTTGTCTAAAAGAAAAAGTTTCATTTCAGGGTTAATATACACTGAATTAAGCAAGGCTGTGCACATAAAGGATTTGCCGGAAGCAAAAATACCGCTTTAAGTTGCCCATTAAATTTTAAAATATTACGATTGTTTGATAAAAACCACAATGTTTTAGAGTTACGTCCGGTTTGTATGAAAAGTCACGTGACAGTATTAATAGCACAGTCTATGTTGAGAAGTAAACAGTAGAGAAAATTCGGAGAGAAATGTAGTGTAAAAAAAAAATAATAATACCACTGTGTAAAGAAGGTACATGTAAACGAAATATTTACTTAACCATCTACTGCTTTAGTAAAATGCTAAAAATTAAATTGCAACATCTCGAAGCGATCGGCAGTTCCATCTGTTTTGTCCATTAAAAAAACAAACACCGTATATTACTACAGAGTTTACTAATGCTCGAAGAAATGCTAATTAACGAAGGTATATTTTATACAGTAAAGAAACACACAATTATGCAAACATTTTGACAAAGAAATACACGTGTACTCTAAACCTAATGAAAAATGGTTTTTGAAGTCATTTGACACCAATCATAACGCTCATAAATATTCAACACTGGGTAATCCGACACACTGTCTAATCCGACATTGATTTTATTTCCCGCAGCATGTCGGATAAGACAGGTTTCACTGTACTTGTACTTACATGTATAAACCGTAATTCAGATTTTCTAGCAAATATTATAGAAGAGAAACTACTGTAAGTCGTTTTAATTCCAGTGTTAGAATTTCATGATTTCTGAAAAAGTACCAGTCGTGATGGTTTTAATTTCAAGCTGCAAGAAATTAATTTAAATTTTATATAAGCATTTAAATGTTTTAAAAACTAATAAAAGCATTCACGATGGGTTTATTTTCGCGGAAAATTGATAAATCGCAAACATAGTGAAATTAAAACCATCGTGATTATTTGCCAATCTACAGTATGTGCAGTATACATTGTACATGTAAACTAGATCAGTGTTTTTTTTCAGTCATCTGTCAGTTTATATCAATGTTTAGTGTAGCCAGCAAAAGTGAGAGTTGTTAACTTGTTATTTTAGACCTTTGAAGGACACGACAGTGCAGTGCTGAGAGTGACCTTCATCAACAGAGGAATGCAACTTCTCTCTTGGTAAGTCTAGAGACTGTGTCCTTAATGAAGTCTAGATTTGTTAAAAGTGGATTAACTTCTAATGAAAATCGTGCAGTAAAACTTAGTCATAATAATATTAATGATTTCTAAAACTATATATTAAAGAAAAAAACCAGGAAGCAGAAAATCATAAACTAAAAACTTAATGTTCTTTATCTTTTGAGACATTTTCCTTTGAATTTGTACCTTGATTTGAGATTCTGAATTTGTACCTTGATTTGAGATTCTGATTTTGTACCTTGATTTGAGATTCTGAATTTGTACCTTGATTTGAGATTCTGATTTTGTACCTTGATTTGAGATTCTGAATTTGTACCTTGATTTGAGATTCTGAATTTGTACCTTGATTTGAGATTCTGATTTTGTACCTTGATTTGAGATTCTGATTTTGTACCTTGATTTGAGATTCTGATTTTGTACCTTGATTTGAGATTCTGATTTTGTACCTTGATTTGAGATTCTGATTTTGTACCTTGATTTGAGATTCTGAATTTGTACCTTGATTTGAGATTCTGATTTTGTACCTTGATTTGAGATTCTGAATTTGTACCTTGATTTGAGATTCTGAATTTGTACCTTGATTTGAGATTCTGATTTTGTACCTTGATTTGAGATTCTGAATTTGTACCTTGATTTGAGATTCTGAATTTGTACCTTGATTTGAGATTCTGATTTTGTACCTTGTTTTGAGTTTCTGATTTTGTACCTTGTTTTGAGTTTCTGATTTTGTACCTTGTTTTGAGATTCTGATTTTGTACCTTGGTTTGAGATGTTTCCCTATGATTTTGTACCTTGTTTTGAGATTCTGATTTTGTACCTTGTTTTGAGATTCTGATTTTGTACCTTGGTTTGAGATGTTTCCCTATGATTTTGTACCTTGTTTTGAGTTTCTGATTTTGTACCTTGATTTGAGATTCTGATTTTGTACCTTGTTTTGAGATTCTGATTTTGTACCTTGTTTTGAGTTTCTGATTTTGTACCTTGTTTTGAGATTCTGATTTTGTACCTTGGTTTGAGATGTTTCCCTATGATTTTGTACCTTGTTTTGAGATTCTGATTTTGTACCTTGTTTTGAGATTCTGATTTTGTACCTTGTCTTGAGATGTTTCCCTATGATTTTGTACCTTGTCTTGAGATTCTGATTTTGTACCTTGTTTTGAGTTTCTGATTTAGTACCTTGTCTTGAGATTCTGTTTTTGTACCTTGTTTTGAGATGTTTCCTTATGATTTTGTACCTTGTTTTGAGAAGTTTTCCTTTGATTTTGTACCTTGTTTTGAGAAGTTTTCCTTTGATTTTGTACCTTGTTTTGAGAAGTTTTCCTTTGATTTTGTACCTTGTTTTGAGAAGTTTTCCTTTGATTTTGTACCTTGTTTTGAGATGTTTCCCTATGATTTTGTACCTTGATTTGAGATTCTGATTTTGTACCTTGATTTGAGATTCTGATTTTGTACCTTGATTTGAGATTCTGATTTTGTACCTTGATTTGAGATTCTGAATTTGTACCTTGATTTGAGATTCTGATTTTGTACCTTGATTTGAGATTCTGAATTTGTACCTTGATTTGAGATTCTGAATTTGTACCTTGATTTGAGATTCTGATTTTGTACCTTGATTTGAGATTCTGAATTTGTACCTTGATTTGAGATTCTGAATTTGTACCTTGATTTGAGATTCTGATTTTGTACCTTGTTTTGAGTTTCTGATTTTGTACCTTGTTTTGAGTTTCTGATTTTGTACCTTGTTTTGAGATTCTGATTTTGTACCTTGGTTTGAGATGTTTCCCTATGATTTTGTACCTTGTTTTGAGATTCTGATTTTGTACCTTGTTTTGAGATTCTGATTTTGTACCTTGGTTTGAGATGTTTCCCTATGATTTTGTACCTTGTTTTGAGTTTCTGATTTTGTACCTTGATTTGAGATTCTGATTTTGTACCTTGTTTTGAGATTCTGATTTTGTACCTTGTTTTGAGTTTCTGATTTTGTACCTTGTTTTGAGATTCTGATTTTGTACCTTGGTTTGAGATGTTTCCCTATGATTTTGTACCTTGTTTTGAGATTCTGATTTTGTACCTTGTTTTGAGATTCTGATTTTGTACCTTGTCTTGAGATGTTTCCCTATGATTTTGTACCTTGTCTTGAGATTCTGATTTTGTACCTTGTTTTGAGTTTCTGATTTAGTACCTTGTCTTGAGATTCTGTTTTTGTACCTTGTTTTGAGATGTTTCCTTATGATTTTGTACCTTGTTTTGAGAAGTTTTCCTTTGATTTTGTACCTTGTTTTGAGAAGTTTTCCTTTGATTTTGTACCTTGTTTTGAGAAGTTTTCCTTTGATTTTGTACCTTGTTTTGAGAAGTTTTCCTTTGATTTTGTACCTTGTTTTGAGATGTTTCCCTATGATTTTGTACCTTGTTTTGAGACATTTTCCTTTGATTTTGTACCTTGTTTTGAGATTCTGATTTTGTACCATGTTTTGAGATTGTGATTTTGTACCTTGTCTTTCAGTGGCTCTGATGGCCTTATGAAGATCTGGGTGATAAAAACCAGTACCTGTGTCTCAACAATGGATGAACATGAGGATAAAATCTGGTCCATTACTGTCAATAAAGAGGAGGATCACGTAGTAACAGGGGGAGCGGACTCCAGTATTATACTATGGAAAGTAAGTGCACAGTCGAGAGAAGTGTCACATAATCAATATTTGAGACTCCTCATTTTTGATGATGTGACATTTAGTTTTCCTAGCAAAAACAAGTCACAATATTAATACAATGTACTTTAGACATGAATCTGTCAGCATTTTTGTGGCTGAATATTTAATTATTCAGAGCAAAAACATTTCTTTGGCTTAGAAATTTGAAAAAAAAAGTTTCTAGCAGATAACATTTGGTCTTTAAATCTGATTATAATACACTATTTCATTAACTTTTAGGATGTAACTGGAGAAGAGGTGCAGAAGAAACAAACAGAGAGAGAGGAATTTATACTTAAGTTAGTGTCACATACCACAGTCAAACTTGTCTATTTTATCCTTTGTTAGTGTGACATACTACAATCAAACTTGTCTATTTTATCCTTTGTTAGTGTCATATACTACAATCAAACTTGTCTATTTTATCCTTTGTTAGTTTCACATACTGCAATCAAACTTGTCTATTTTATCCTGTGTTAGTGTCACATACTACAGTCAAACTTGTCTATTTTATCCTTTGTTAGTGTCACATACTACAATCAAACTTGTCTATTTTATCCTTTGTTAGTGTTACATACTACAGTCAAAATTGTCTAAATTTTATACTTAAGTTAGTGTCACATAGTCAAACTTGTCTATTTTATCCTTTGTTAGTGTCACATACTACAGTCAAACTTGTCTATTTTATCCTTTGTTAGTGTCCCATACTACAGTCAAACTTGTCTATTTTATCCTTTGTTAGTGTCCCATACTAGAGTCAAACTTGTCTATTTTATCCTTTGTTAGTGTCCCATACTACAATCAAACTTGTCTATTTTATCCATTGTTAGTGTCACATACTACAATCAAACTTGTCTATTTTATCCTTTGTTAGTGTCACATACTACAATCAAACTTGTCTATTTTATCCTTTGTTAGTGTCACATATACAATCAAACTTGTCTATTTTATCCTTTGTTAGTGTCACATGCTACAGTCAAAATTGTCTAAATTTTATACTCAAGTTAGTGTCACATACTACAGTCAAACTTGTCTATTTTATCCTTTGTTAGTGTCACATACTACAGTCAAACTTGTCTATTTTGTCCATTGTTAGTGTCACATACTACAATCAAACTAAACTTGTCTGTCTATTTTATCCTTTGTTAGTGTCACATACTACAATCGAACTTGTCTATTTTATCCTTTGTTGGTGTCATATACTGCAATCAAACTTGTCTATTTTATCCATTGTTAGTGTCACATACTACAGTCAAACTTGTCTATTTTATCCATTGTTAGTGTCCCATACTACAGTCAAACTTGTCTATTTTATCCTTTGTTAGTGTCCCATACTACAGTCAAACTTGTCTATTTTATCCATTGTTAGTGTCACATACTACAATCAAACTTGTCTATTTTATCCTTTGTTAGTGTGACATACTACAGTCAAACTTGTCTATTTTATCCATTGTTAGTGTCACATACTACAATCAAACTTGTCTATTTTATCCTTTGTTAGTGTCACATACTGCAATCAAACTTGTCTATTTTATCCTTTGTTAGTGTCACATACTACAGTCAAACTTGTCTATTTTATCCTTTGTTAGTGTCACATACTACAGTCAAACTTGTCTATTTTATCCTTTGTTAGTGTCACATACTACAATCAAACTTGTCTATTTTATCCTTTGTTAGTGTCACATACTACAGTCAAACTTGTCTATTTTATCCTTTGTTAGTGTCACATACTACAGTCAAACTTGTCTATTTTATCCATTGTTAGTGTCACATACTACAGTCAAACTTGTCTATTTTATCCATTGTTAGTGTCACATACTACAATCAAACTTGTCTATTTTATCCTTAAGTCAGTGTCACATACTACAGTCAAACTTGTCTATTTTATCCTCTGTTAGTGTCACATACTACAGTCAAACTTGTCTATTTTATCCTTTGTTAGTGTCACATACTACAGTCAAACTTGTCTATTTTATCCTTTGTTAGTGTGACATACTACAATCAAACTTGTCTATTTTATCCTTAAGTCAGTGTCACATACTACAATCAAACTTGTCTATTTTATCCTTTGTTAGTGTCACATACTACAATCAAACTTGTCTATTTTATCCTTTGTTAGTGTGACATACTACAGTCAAACTTGTCTATTTTATCCATTGTTAGTGTCCCATACTACAGTCGAACTTGTCTATTTTATCCTTTGTTGGTGTCACATACTGCAATCAAACTTGTCTATTTTATCCATTGTTAGTGTCACATACTACAGTCAAACTTGTCTATTTTATCCATTGTTAGTGTCCCATACTACAGTCAAACTTGTCTATTTTATCCTTTGTTAGTGTCACATACTACAGTCAAACTTGTCTATTTTATCCTTTGTTAGTGTCCCATACTACAGTCAAACTTGTCTATTTTATCCTTTGTTAGTGTCACATACTACAATCAAACTTGTCTATTTTATCCATTGTTAGTGTCACATACTACAATCAAACTTGTCTATTTTATCCTTTGTTAGTGTCACATACTACAATCAAACTTGTCTATTTTATCCTTTGTTAGTGACACATACTGCAGTCAAACTTGTCTATTCTGGACACCACTGCTTTTTAAGAAATTGGTGGATTAGGCAACATTCCAGATTAAACAACGTTTAAAAAATGAATTTACTGAAAGAGCGAAAAATTTACATCATACTAGGCAAGATTTTGAAATACACAATATCTGGATTAGACAAGTTTTACTGTATATGTCTTAGAAGTCCTCTATGGAATTAATGGCTCTAAAAACTCTGATATACATTTACATGAACACTTCTTTTTTGTAGAGAGCAAGAGTTGAGTAATTTGCTCCATCAGAAGAAGTACTTGAAGGCTATAGGTCTGGCGATCACCCTAGAACAACCCTTTAGAGTTCTCAGTATTATTAAAGGTAAACACAAAAACTATCAGGTCATAATAGGTAACTCATGTGCATGATAAACAACAGTCATGTCAATGCACATTTTGTAAAATAATTTCCATTTTATTATTCAGTACTGTGTATGTTATTTTTTTTTAAAACCAAAGAAATCTGACATCATTTAAAAGTTCTCGTAGTGATGATGATTAAAAGAGAAATAGCATGCTCAATTTTAAAATTTGTGTTTTAGAAATTCTTTATAATCCTAATGGAAAAACAGAACTGGAGACAACTCTTCAAAAACTGAGGCTTGATCAAATAGGTAAGGGGTGAAAAGCCAGATAAGGGCATATTATCAGTGAGCTTCTGTTTATTCTAAATATTTTTAATTTTTGAAATTTGATGATAGAGTTAATCTTCATTCATGTACATGGCTGTAAATTGCAATGAGACTGTACAGTGGTTTACAGCTGTAAATATCTTCTGTGGATGATTTTTCTCCATGTATCATTTTGAAAGGCATTGTATCAGTGTTTGTCCATGATAAATATATGTACAGTGGGACTGCGTTTATCCGGACGCCATTTATCCGGACACTTCACAATCCGGACGATATTTTTGGGAACCAATTTTTTTCCACGTTATTTTGTCTTATTTATCAGGAAATTCGCGTTTCGCATCCAGACGGTCGATTTCTACTACAAAACGTAATAGTTCATTGAAAAAATGACTCATTTATCTGGATGGTAATTTTTCAAGAAACGACTTTTTTCACACTTATCTTGCAGTAGTGTTAATGTTGTAAAAACATTGGCATTGCAGTTTAAAATTCTTCTTTAAAATTCTTCTTCTCAAGAACAGCGAAGCCATGTTTAGTCATATTGATATGGAAGCTTTCTCAGGTATTGTAGATTCAAGTTTGTTCAAATCATGACCCCTAGGGGTAGGATGGGGCCACAATGAGGGATCAAAGTTTTACATAGGAATATAAAGGAAAAAATCTCTTTCTCAAGAACAGCAAAGCCATGTTTAGACATATTGATATGGAAGCATCCTCGGGTAGTGTAGATTGAAGTTTGTTCAAACGATAACCCAATGGGGTAGGGAGGGGCCACAATGGGGTATCAATTTTTTACAAAGGAATATATAGGAAAAAATCTTTAAAAATCTGCTGCTCAAGAACAGCAAAGCCATTTGTTATATTGATATGGAAGCATCCTCAGGTAGTTTAAAATTCAAGTCCCCCCACCTGTAAACTTTTCAATACTGAATTGATTTGTGCTTTTTCCTATCCATTATGTTCAGGTGAGCGATGTGGCCCATGGGCCTTTTGTTTTGAATGTTTTATGCAGTTAGGTATAATGTGCAGATATGGGCCTAGTCTCAAAGAATGTTGAGTAAACAGGGAAAAGTTACATGAAACTTTTTTAGAAAAAAAATATTTTGTCAAATATATGAAACTACATTTACTTACATTGTAATAGAATGTATTAAATAATGGTGTCTGTGGTGTAATCGGTAGTGCGTTGGACTGACAGTCTCAGGAATGTGAGTTCGATCCCCGGTGTGGGCACTAATGGATTTTTTTCAGAAAAAGAAGCCATGCACTATTTCTGCATAGTATGCTTAAACTTTATAAATCCTTGGAACAGTATGCAAAATAGTTGGATATTGATTATACAGAGACAAATTGACATGAAGCATAATAACTATATATATATATATATATATATATATATATATATATATATATATATATATATATATATATATATATATATATATATATATATATATATATACACTTCTTTTTGCTGTAGATTTTTAATTTGAGCACTATCCCCTCTTTTTGCTGTAGATTTTTAATTTGAGCACTATCCCCGCTATATACCCGGTACTGTATGATGCAGTGTTTGATCTAAAGTGCTCAACTGTACTGCATACATGTACACTTTAGTGCAGTATATGACTTTGCTTTATTTTTAGATTCGGTTTTGCGGTTTGCCAGTGAATGGAATACAAACAGCAGACATTGTCATGAGGCTCAGTTTGTCCTCCATACAGTCCTGAGGACATACCCTCCAGAGGAAATCCTCAAGTTTTCTAACATCAAGTCTACCATGGAAGCTCTCATACCATACACAGGTACTTCAATTCTTGTTAAAGTTGGTGAAGATGATAATTCTGCTGATAGTATTATGAATTTTGCTAAGAAGTATTTTCTGATTTCCATTTTTATTTTGAGAGTTTTACCAAAATTTTGGAGTCATTTCACTTTGTTTTGCCAAGTAATTCACATATGAAAATTTATATAAGTTATAGATACTGAAAACAATCATTTGAATATGATAAATTGACTCAACAGTAGGCAGTAAAGCTGTACTATTTGTCAGTTCTTTGTAAGTTCTCAATGTTGTTTGACAGAGCGCCACTTCCAGAGGATGAACCGCCTATTACAACAGGCCATGTTCCTCGAGTTTACCTGGGGATGTATGAGGAGGGCAACGGAAAAAGCAAGGTCAGTACCCAAGTCAATACCATAGTAAATACTGTGTCAGTACCAAGATCAGTACCCAAGTCAGTACCATAGTAAATACTGAGTCAGTACCAAGGTCAGTACCCAAGTCAGTTCCATGGTAAATACTGAGTCAGTTGCATAGTAAAAACTGAGTCAGTACCATGGTCAGTACCATAGTAAATACTGAGTCATTACCATGGTCAGTACCCAAGTCAGTTCCATGGTAAATACTGAGTTCGTATCATGGTAAATACTGAGTCAGTACCATGGTCAGTACCCAAGTCAGTACCATGGTAAATACTGAGTCAGTACCATGGTAAGTCATTACCATGGTCAGTACCCAAGTCAGTACCATGGTAAATACTTCAGTACCATGGTAAATACTAAGTCAGTACCATGGTCAGTACTCGATTCAATACCACTGTCAGTACAAGAGTCAATACCATGGTCAGTGCTTGAGTCAATATCACAGTCAGTACCTGAGTCAATAAATGTAGCACAGTCGAGTCAGTATCACGGTCAGTACTCAAGTCAATATCATGGTCACTACACAATTCAATACCATGGTCAGTCAAGTCAATAGCATGATCAGTACTCAAGTCAATACAACGGTCAATACAAGTGTCAATACATACCGGGTAAGTCAATACCATGGCCAGTGCTCGAGACATTGCAACGGTCTGTACTTGAGTCAATACAAAGGCAGTACACAAGTCAATACAAATGGTATGAAAAGTATACACTGGTACTTGAATATAAGGTATTTAAAATGAATATCAGTGTTTCTTGTTGTAGGCCAATGGAGGATTTAGAGCATATCACATCAGAAGGACAAGATTGTATGCTGATTACAGAGTCAGCAAAGATACCAGAGGAGGAGAGGGGAGATAAATCATCATCAGAGAGTGATTTAGAGAGTGATAAATCAGATTCAGCAAATTCAGAAGAGGATTCAGAAGGAGAATCCATGGAGAAAAAAATCAAGGAACAAGAGTCTAGTGATTCAAACAGTTGTGAATCTGACATTGAGAATACGACACCATCAGCTCTGATGAATGAGCCACAAGAAACTGACAAGACATCTGAGAAAAGGGAGGAGTCACAGGTGACAGACACATCATTACAGAAAAGGGAGAAGTCACAGGTGACAGGCACATCATTACAGAAAAGGGTGGAGTCAAATACAGCTTCATCAAGTGACTCCGATTCGGAAAATGAATCTTCTGAATCCAGTGTGGATGTCCCTCCAGTTACATCCATTCAAACAACAGAGGTGAAACTTAATTATGACATATCTTTTTTGTTTTGTACACATATTTATTAATTTTTTTTTTTCATTAATTCACCTAAAGTTAAGAATTTTATATACTCGCCTATAAGTTGGTACACTTATAAGTTGGTTGTGTTTTTTATATTTTTTTTTTGCCGGAATCTGTGGCTAATTACAGATTAATGTACTAAATGTATTTAGCTGTGTGTTCAAAGTATGTTTTGGGGTATATTTGATTTGAAATTAACAATTTATAACGAATTACGGGGAGGGGGGGGGGGCAACTTCTTTCAATACCAAATTTTATTCATACCCTTCCCTTTTCATACCCTACTACATTACCCTTCTTTGACTATACTGCAACAAAAAGTGGGGGGGGGGGGGGGGGGGGGGGCGACCTTTCAATTGTAAAAACTTGTGTTTGGAAAAAAGTGGAGAGGGGGCATATACAGTATGTGAACCTTTATAAAAGAGCAGTTTATTTTATTTTGCCATGGTTTGTGATCCTTATCTCTCAAAGTTATATAATGTTTCATGTTTTTTAGGGAGATAGTAATTTAGCACAAGAGACATTCCAAGTCAACACGAGGTTGAGAAGATCACAGCAGATACTGGTAAATAGTGCAAAACAGAACACAACAATAAAAGAAGTCCAGCAAACCATGAGGGTCAAATCAAGTAGGAAGAGGTCACAGCAGGTGGAGCGTGACGAAGAGGAACAGATGGAAACTAGACAGAAATATGTGAAGAAACCAGAGAGGGGACAGAGAACCAGTCAAACTGTGAAACCTGAACTTGTAACAAACAGTGCCAAAAAGTTAAAACAACCACTCACAAGGTCCAAATTACTAAAACAAAAAGGGAGATAACTGAGCTTAATGGGCTTTATTTTTACCATAATGTTTTTTTTAAACTACGGTATGTTATGAATATTATAGGTACAGGTATCAAATTTTATCCATGTACCAGTACATATTTGTTTTGGAATTATGCATTTCTAAAAAGATGTACAGTAAAACTTGGATATATAGAAAAGTCCTGTGAATTTATTTAACTATGTACATAATTTCTTATACCAACAAATTACAAAAAATTTGCAATATACATGTTTCCTTTAAGTATGACTACTGAATATGTATTAAATTCAAGACTTACCCTGGAGTACAAAACTTTTCACATGAATATAGGTATAGGTATAAATATTTATGAAAATAATATCAGTTCAGTATTTTAAATTTTGAGGTCTTAAAAATTTGCTAAAAAGATGTAAATTTCATTGTTTTTAACTTCTACAAGACAAAAAATCAGTTTGCTAAATCCGTAAATTTGCTATATCAGAGTTCACTATAACTGTAAAATTTACAAAGAATTCTTTAAAAAAAATTTTGGGGATTCAGAAATATTCACTTAATCTGTAATTTTGCTACATCCATGTTTGTATTGAGGGATTTTTACTGTACATGATATTACACATATAATGAAACAACTTGAAGTTGATTAAATTTGTTAAGTTTGTTATGTTAATGTATACACTCAAAGTAAAAATACATGTGTACCTCAAGCCTTTGTTACTAATTTTCAATGACTTCCTCCAGCAGTCTCAGAGAGTGATAAACAGAGAAACACTTCTGACATACGACTTACCCAGTATCTTGATCTCCCAGCAAATAATAGAAATATATGGCTAAAGAAGATGTTAGCTTCAAGAAAAAAAAAATGATGTTGCTTGTCTGTATTATCCGTGTAAATACTGAATTCCTGTTACTAGTAATTTAAAAGTATAAGCCAAGCATTATTAAGAGAGCTAACTCCTCAGTTGGATTATATTTGAGAATTTTGGTAAGGCCTAACTAGAGGCCCTTGAGCCACAATGCTCACCTGAGTAACTATGGCCTTTCTAGTTCTTCATTAACAGATTCTTTTATATATTATTTAAAACTTTGATTTGCCCATTGTGGCCCCACCCTATTCCTGGGGGTCATGATTTGAACAAACCTGAATATTACACTACCTTAGGATGCTTCCATATGAATATGATTAATCATGGCTTTGCTTTTCTTGAGAAGATTATTAAAGATTTTCCTATGTTTTCCCATGTAAAACTTTGCAAATAGTGTCCCCACCCTATCCCTGGGGTGTTATTTGAACACACTTGAATCTACACCACCTGAGGATGCTTCCATATAAATATGACTGATCCTGTCTTTTTCTGTTATTGAGAAACTTTGATCATCACCCTAGCCCCAGGGTTCATGATTTGAACAAGTCTGAATCTGCACTATGTCAGGAAGCTTTCACTTAAGTTTCATTTTTTCTGGCCAACTGGTCCTACCCAATTTTCTACTATTTCTTAATTATCTCTCCTTGGAAGAGGGTGTTGCCTGCATCTGAACAAACTTGAATTCCCTTCACCCAAGGATACATCTGTACTAAGTTTGTTAAAATTGGCCAAATGGTTCTGGAGAAAAAAAATGAAATTGTAAAGTTTACGACAACAATGGACAATTTTGATCAGAAAGCTCATTTTAGCCTTCTGCTCAGGTGAGCAAAAAATAAAAGATACGAAGTGGCTTCAGGGATACTGGGTACTCCCCAGATATAAGATGTGTCAAACAAAGAAGTTTCCAAATTGTTTTTTTTTTCATTTATAATCTCTTTGTCTGTCTGTGCAATTGTTTCTGTGGCCTAATTTTGTAATGGAGAAACATTGGAAGTTCGTACTTCACCAAAAAAATTACCTATGACCTGACACGTATCATGACTTTGACCTGAGGTCATTTCCACAAGTTCAAGGTCACTAACAGAAAAAGTATTTAATTCTTGTCTGTAATGGAGAAACACTGGAAATACACTGAAAGTTCATAAAAAAAAAAATTGCTTACGACCTTAAGGTGTGTCATGACCTTTGACCATGGTCTTTTGATCAGGCTCAAGGCCACTTTTAGTAAAATGTATAGTTTCTGTATTTACCCCATCTTGTAAGGAGAAACATTGAAAGTTAATACTTAGCACAAGGATCTCTCATGACCTGAGGGTGTCATGACATTGACCAAAAGGTCATTGCAGGAAGTTAATGTCATCGGCTAAAAAGTGCAAAATTTGTGTCTGGTTTATAAATGTCTAATGGATAAACACTGGAAATTAATACTTGAGGAAAAAATTGCTTATAACCTAAAGGATTTGTCATGTGAAAAAATGTAAAATTTGTGCAAGTGAACGTTTTTTATGGAGACACACTGAAGTTCTTACTTCACATAAATATTGGGGTGTGTTATGACCTTGACCTGTGTACCAAATCACAACCCAATACCTTAAACATAACCATCAAGAGGGCCATGGGCCATATTGCTCACCTGAGCACTTTGGTTAGAGAAAAGCAGAAATCATTTCAGTATTGAAAATTTAAAGGTGTGTGGTCCCACTCTACCGTAAAAAGGGGCAGGGGAGGGGTCATGATCTGAACAAACTTGAATCTACACTAGCTAGACATGCTTGTATATTTATATGACTAATCATGGCTTAAAAAGATTTTGATAGACTATCTTGTATATATTCCCATGTAAAAATTTGATCTTCTATTGTGACCTTGCCCTACCCCCGGGTTTCATGATTTGAACAAGCTTGAATCCACACTACCTGAGGATGCCACCATATTGATAAGACCAGTCATGGCTTTGCTAATGAAGAGTTTTTAAGATTTTTCCTATATATTCCTATGTAAAAATTATATTGCCTATTAGGGTCCTACCCTACCCCGGGGGTCATGATTTGAACAAACTTGAATTTACACTATGTAATGAAGCTTCCACGTAAGTTTCATCTTTTCTGGTTCAGAATTATTGAGAAGAAGATTTTTTAAAGATGCCTTTAATTTTTCACTCTTTCTGAATGATCTAACCTTGAAAAAGGGTTTGGTCCTTCATTTGAATAAACCTGAATCCCCTTCCTCCAATGATGCTTAGTGGCAGGTGGTTGAAATTGGCCCAGTGGTTCTTGAAAGAAGTTGAAAATGTGAAAAGGTGACAGACCACACACAAAAGACAGATGCCAGACACTCTTCAATCAGAAAATCTCACTTGAGCCTTTGTCTCAGGTGAGCTAAAAAGTTCTGGAAGAAAATTCATGGGCAGACAGAGATAAAACTAATTGTTTATCCAGTAGTGCACTTACAAGATACCCCACAACTTCAGTCCTCCTTTATCGGTCAAATCAATGAAGTTATGCATAAGTTATGCAAGCCTTAAAATGGTAAGGAAAAAAAATTGTAAAACTCCAATTTATTGTTGCTTTATATATGTAAGCAATGTAAAAAACAAACACTTTAATACTTCCATAAATAAAATTAAATATCTCTCTCTCATCAGTATACACACATCTCCTTTTATAAACATTTTGTCCAGTATAAATATGGTGTACAATACCATTCACAGTACAGACAAAGTTAGTATACAAGTGATGCAATGAAAAATGAATGTTTTCACAAATTTTTTCTCTTTATATTTTGATCACTCAATATATAAACTAAAAACAAGTTAAGTAGGAAATCACCTTAAATCTTGTATCAATACTGATCCAAATAAAAATAACTTTCAAGTTCTTGGAATCACAGAATGTTGTTACTATATATAGACTTTTATTAGTATAAATATCATAAAGCGGTCATTGTCTGTGCCTCTTCACACAGACTCCGTAACCTTGGTGACAGTTTTTGATGAGTTGAACAGTTCATTCCAACTACTCCTGCCAGATCACACATCTACAATTAAAGACAACAAACTTCAATGTAAAAATGTTTAATTTTATTAATTAAGGTTATTGGTACATGTATACAAAAAAAAATCATGTAGCATGATATATCTATAATACATGTACAGTATGTTGCAGATTTGTGTCCCCTACATGTAATATAAATTATGTTATGTTGCAGAATTGTGCCCCCTTACATGTAATATAAATTATGTTATGTTGCAGAATTGTGCCCCTTACATGTAATATAAATTATGTTATGTTGCAGAATTGTGCCCCCTTACATGTAATATAAATTGTTTTGTTGCAGAATTGGGCCCCCTAACATGTAATATAAATTATGTTCTCCTAATTTTGTTACAATGCTGACAAGACTTCATCCTCAGAGCATTTACTTACATCATTCATCTAAATTCAAGTAGGTTTTCATCCAATATCAACATTTCCTCATGAACACTATTTGATTCAGTTATGGTTTTTAGCTAAATATATTTCATATAATGCCACTAATATTAGTATTTTTTTTACTACTGTAATATTACTAGTCTGCCTACCTCTTCATTGCTCCTCATCAACTGTAACAGACTCATCATCAGGTTGTATGCTGAAACGAGAATACAGCGTGTGTCACAATTAACAATCTTCCTTTAGGTTCCAAACATACAAAAACATGCTGGATATATGTAGCTCTTAGTTTCAGGTGCTACTTGAATTGGAAGAGGTAAAAATATTCATTAGTAATCAAAAGCTAAGGCCACTACAATCTCATTATACATGAAAATATTTTACTAGTAACTCTAAGTCTAATGTTAATTTACCAGAAATAATGTACAACCAAGACATAATGATATTCAGATAGCTTGAGGGATGATCTTGCATACCTAATACTTTTATATAAGTGATATTATTTTCTACAGATAATTGTATTGTAAAATCATTACATTCACAAATTACAATACACCTGAAGATATAATTACCAGTAGTTTCTGGGAGATCTTTCTGTAGACATTCTAAAATAGCACTCCCACACTCCACCTGAGCATCCTCAGGTAACTAAAAAGATAAAATACAGGTGTACAATGTAGTCAATAACATATATAAACATTGCACACCTGGACATCCTTAGGTAACTACAAAGGTAAAATACAGGTGTACAATACAGTCAATAATATATAAACACTAGGTGAAATCCCGCGCAAGCGCGGGGAATTGAATTTATACCACTACCGAGAGAAAATATATTGTAGTTTCTACTGACAGCCTACAGGGTTATAGCAGGAAGAAAGACTTTGTTCAAAATCCCGCAAGTGTGTCTCCCTCCACCCCCCCCCCCCCATCCCCACCCCTTTTGTAAAAACTTGAAAACTTAACAATTTCAGTAATTGATGTTTATTGTGAGACCTTTTATACTATGTTATGGATATTGTACTTCAGATGCTCTTATTTCATTTCCGTCAAGGATAAAAGCAGCGAATATGCACATTTTACTGATAATTAAATTGTTTTTTTTTTTTCAGGTGCTTGGGTCTTGATGTATAAATATGTATGTATCTTATTGATACGTATAAAATGTACTTTACCTTTTTTTTTACATATCAGTAAGGTATATACATATATATAAACCAAGACGCAAGTATCTGTGTAAAAATTAGCTTTTAACGCCCTATGAATAGGCCGAGTATTTGATACAAAAGACTGTATTTAGACATTGAAACTGAAATGTATTGATCAAAGCACAAACGTTTACAGCTTTAATTGTATTTGAACAACATCTTATTCATTAATTTTCTCTTTTCAAGTAAGCAAGTTTATTACGAAGTAGAAATTGTACTTCGGGTTCGTGGTTCGTTGCCACGATGCTCTCAGTGAGGAATATTTACACATTTTACCGATAAATTTATTAGGAAAACCTACCACAAATATGTAATAGTCTTTCGATGTATAAATATGTTCACAACTTATAGTGTTATCAATGATTTACCGTTATTTCAATGACCATTCACACAAAAACTTTTTTTATGTTCCTGCAGCTATAATCGTCTCGTTTTTCTTTTTAACATCGGGCTCGATGCTATATGATGTTCTAGAAGCTTCCGTCAATATTAAGATCGGTGGATGACAAAAATAATTTGCACATTTCCCTTTTTAATCGGTTATCACAACTTATTTCTTTTATGTCATTTAAATCAAGTTTTGATTGAATAATTCAGTGATGACGTTTTATGAAATAAATAAACGATTGCTTGTTGTCAGTTTTATTGCAAATTGCCAGAAACTTAGATCCGCCAACCGGAAACGCCACCGTACTCACGTTTTTGCTATTTCATGGCTGTTTATAGAAAATAAAAGTAGACTTTTATTTAATGTACGATACTTACAATGCGAGTGAAATCTAAATATAGTTTACGGACATCATATTGTATCTAGTGTATTCTTAGAGGAGTAAGTAAAAGCTCTGCTGCATCCGTTTCGGAGTTTATTTGCAAAATTTATTAATTTATAAGTATAGATTACACAGCTGGACCATATAAGTTTACAATGTAGTCACCATAAATATTGAATACATTACACACCTTGGCATCCTCAGCTACCTACAAAGGTAAACAAGAGGTGTTTGTGAAACACTTATCCCCCCCCCCCCCCCAAAAAAAATAATTGGAATTTTTCTAAGTCCAAGGGGCATAACTCTGTCAAAAATTGCTCGATCATACCCAAAACAAAACTTGACCTATATATTTTTATGATAAATTTGTATACCAAATTTCATTTCAGTAGACCGACCGACCGACAGCAGCAAAGCAATATGCCCTCCCTTCTTCGAAAGGGGGGGGGGGATAAATATTGGTGTACAATGAGGTCACCATACATATAAAGTACATTAGACACCTCTGCATCTTTGGATAACTCTAAAGGTAAAATACAGGTGAACAATCACCAGAAATATATAGTACAGTATATTACACACCTAGCATCCCCAGGTAACTGTAAAGGTGAAATACTATATTCTCATAATAAATTACAAGCATACATGTATCATAGGGTTCATCTTGCAGCTGATACCAGGCATTTCATTGAATTTATGACTTATAACCTTATGTATAGGATAGGACTGCCTTATATCTAAAGATGTTGTGTATACAAAGAATACCTGATATCTACTGACACTGAACAGCAGATGGTTTATATATTATAAATATTATTGCAAACACTTGGTAGTGTGGCATAATAAAGAAAAAATAGTGAGTGTCCATGAACATGTGATAAAAATTCAAAATCTATATTTTTGATGTTTATATCATAAAACTAGTTTTACATCAGACTGGACCATGAGGCTCGAATGACTCAGTGTGTATATACAGTAATTAGTGACCAATCATTTTGTACACAGCTGTTCTCACCTATTGTGGCCCTTAATTTTTGGATGGCTTCACTGATTGTTTTCAGTGAACTCAAGTACTCAAGTATGGTCTATTATCTTCAAATCATTTTAAATTATTTAGTTAATATACGACAATGAAATCGGACATGCATAACCCACTTCAAAAGTGAAGATTAATATTAAGAAATAACTAAAGTTTCAAAAAAATGTTGAAAGTCAGTTTGCATAGTAAGTTAAGTGTGTACGGGGGAAACAACCAACAAATAAAATAATAGACTAGCGATCCCAACAACGTCCGTTCCTTCTCTTTCGCTAGTCTAATCATCACAAACCTGTGTAACAGATTGTCCTCCTTTTGATGAAATAGATCCTAAACAAGAACTGTAAACCATTTGTAATTTTTTATGTATTAATTGTGTCTTTTGTGTTTATTTGATAAATAAATTTAGTACCAAAAAATCATTTCCATTGAACTCGATGTTTATATACATGTACATTTATAAACGTGATAAAAACAGCTTCAGGGTTTAACAGAGCTTAACGGGGCTCAAGAAAATTAACACATTTGTGTAAATTTACATTTTTACCAAGTACCCGGGTACTCGATCGGAAAAACGTCTGAGTAACTGATTATCAAACACTGATCGATTTGACATCCCTACTTCTTATACATTTACCAAAGCATGGTCTATATTAATATATTATTGTACAAGTTCGGCACATGTTCATTATTAAGAAAATTACATAATTTTCTGGGAATTTTATGGAGAACATAATATCATGATAGAAAGGTTGTATAGGAGAGGATTGCCTGATATCTACAGAGATGGTATAGATAATATCCTGATATCTATAAAGGTTGTAAAGGAGAAGACTGATTTCTAAATATGAGGTGACAGTTGAGAATTCTCTTATATCTGTAGAGGTTGTACAGGAGTGGATTGCATATCAATAGAGATTGTATAGATAAAAATATCCTGATATCTATAAAGGTTGTATAGGAGAAGACTGATATCTATAAAAGTTGAATAGGAGAAGACTGATATCTATAAAGGTTGTATAGGAGAAGACTGATATCTATAAAGGTTGAAAAGGAGAGAACTGATATTTATAAAGGTCGGAAGGTTGGATAGGAGAAGACTGATATCTATAAAGGTTGTACAGGAGAAGACTGATATTCAAATATGAGGTGACAGATGAGAATTGTCTTATATCAGGGCTGGGTATCAGCTGGGAATTTCGTATTGCGATATTTTTAACTGTATTGCAATATGTATTGCAATATTTTTGATAACAGTTAAAATGTTCTTTCTTATTTTATCAACCTCCATTTATAAGGAGAGTGCATAAAACTATTATAAATATGTTGAAACAAAAAAGTTCTTGTTGATTTCCCTACAGTTTTGCAACAGAATACAACCAAACAACCGAAACCTTTACTGTTTGGCACAATTGAAAAGTTTCTGACATATTAAATCTCATATTTTACTTTAGAAATCTAAAGCCCAAACATTTTGTCAGTACATAAGTACTGGAAAAAAGTATCAACAATATTTTTTGTTGATAAATCACATTATACCTGAATATTGATATTATTGTGCAGCTCTAATATCTATTGAGGTTGTACAGGAGTGGATTACCTAGTATCCAAAGGGGTTGTATAAAATCCCCGGAATCTGATATCTACTGAGGTTGTAATTGGGGATGTTTCTTGATATCTGCTGAAGTTGTATTAGGGGATATTACCTGATATCTGCTGAGGTTGTAGACAAGAGCTGATGCTTTGCTGTAGATATCCTGGTTGTCATGAAGTAGAGCCCAGACACACACCTCGGGACAGAGAAGTTTAATGTTACTCTGTTCTCCCCCCTCGCTGTCTGTCAGAAAGCTGTGCCCCATCTGATGACTGCAGCAATTTGTTAACTAGTCAAATAAGGAATAAATCTCAATATATGTTACTTAATATATAGCCTCGGAGTGCATTGGGTTCTTCATATTACATGTGAGATTAGAAATTTACATTTTATAAGTAACTACAATTGAAAATATCTAATTGTCTAAATTTACTTTATGCAAAGAAATCAGTGGGGAAGTGATATTTGAAAAGATATTCTAGCATTATCAATAATTGAAATTTCAACAGTACAACACCATACTAAATAAATGATCTTAATCTTGTTCTTATCAAACCCCTTTAAGAGATAACAGCAAATAGTATTTTTTGATTTCATGACATTCATAAAGAGGAGAAATAATGTTATTGAGGCTATAATAAAACCTTTCTGCTAACTTACTTCCTTAAGACAAGTAGTGACATCTGTACACTTAACCATTGTAAGGAATGACATTTGTATGCTCACGACCTTAAGTAGAGACATCTGTACATTAACCACCTTAAGTAAAGACATCTGTACATTAACCACCTTAAGTAGAGACATCTGTACACTTACCACCTAAGTAAAGACATCTGTACATTAACCACCTTAAGTAGAGACATCTATACATTAACCACCTTAAGTAGAGACATCTGTACATTAACCACCTTAAGAAGAGACATCTGTACATTAACCACCCTAAGTAAAGACATCTGTACATTAACCACCTTAAGTAAAGACATCTGTACATTAACCACCTTAAGTAAAGACATCTGTACATTAACCACCTTAAGTAGAGACATCTGTACATTAACCACCTTAAGTAAAGACATCTGTACATTAACCACCTTAAGTAGAGACATCTGTACACTTACCACCTAGGGTAGAGACATTTGTATGCTTATCACCTTAAGTAGAGACATTTCTACACTTACCATCTTAGAGACATTTGTACACTTACCACCTTAAATAGAGACATTTGTACACTAACCACCTTAAATAAAGACATTTGTACACTTACCGCCTTAGGTAGAGACATTTGTACACTTTGAACCTTTAAGAGAGACATCTGTACATTTACCACCTTAAGTAAAGACAACTGTACACTTACCACCTAGATTAGAGACATCTGTACACTTACCACCTTAAGCAGAGGCATCTGTTCATTTAACACCCTAAAGTAGAGACTTTTTTACACTTATCACCTTAAGTGAAGACATTTATACACTTACCACATAAGCAGAGTTATCTGTACACTTACCACCTTAAGTAGAGACATCTGTACACTGTCAGTAAGCTCTTTATAATGTAATAACACACTGTTCATTAACTTCGTGGGTTCATTTTGTAATAGTTCTACAAAGTCCTCAATCAAGACCAGATCCTGTAGAAGCACACATATCTCTCCCCTCAATTTATCACCCATGCGTCCATCCCCGATCACTTTGTGGATGGTCTGGACATGCTCTTTACACAGAGACCAGGTAGGTGATTTTGTTCCTAGATAGTCATACAAATCTGATACAAGGCTAACTTCCTTTGGAGAGAGTTTGTCATGCACATCATCTAGAAGGGGTTTCTTTGAAGGTCTTTCCTAAAATTTTAATTTTTTCTTATAAATAAACACTGCATGCAAGTCACATTTGAAAAGATGAGTAAAGCCAAGCTTAAAAGTTCTAGAGATCTTACTGTTTTTAAAAGAGATAATTTTTTCATAAGATATCAGGGGTTGAAATATACAGTAGCCCGATATCCGGGGGTAATTGTTTTAAGACTCGGGCTAGCTTATTTAAATGTAAAAACAGTCCGTCGGACAAGCAGACCAGAAAAAAATTCTTGTCAGTTTATTTTTGTTTTCTATGTATGAAGACTGGTTTCTTTTGACTGAAAACTAGTTTAATTTGTTTCTCTCAACAAAGCGTTAGAAACTTTTACTTGTGCTGTTTTTCATTTTGCATAAAAAATTGTTGGGCTAGTTAGTTTGACATTTGGGCTAGTAATTTTTTTTACTGATCAGTAGCCCCAGGGCTAGCAAGTTTTCCAGGAAAATTTCAACCCCTGAATGATATGCAAAGAAAACAAGCATTCTGAGAGCATTGCATTAGCAATACTAGTCCCCTACCAACAAGTGTAATCTGGTTCCCGTTAAAAATTGAAAATGCCATAATTCTGTCAAAAATCAATAAAGCGGAACAAAATGGAAACTTTATCTGTAACTAATCAAGTTAAAGTCACATATCAAAATTCAGGGCAATATCTGTAAGCGTTTAGAAAAAAATTGCGGAAAACCCTTAAAAATTGAAAAGGTTGTAATTCCGTCAAAAATCAATGAAGTGGAACAAAATGCACACTTATTCTGTAACTCATCAAGATACACTCACATACCACAAATCAGCTCAATATCTGCAAGCGTTTAGGAAAAAAGTGCAGAAAACCATGTGGGACAGACTGACAGACAGACAGAAGGACAGCTAGACAGATGGACAGATGCAGAGGAAACCTACAGTCCCTTCCGGTTTCACCGGTACGGGACTAATAATTAGTTAAGTGATTTACCTCTCTGTATATGATAGGTTCCATTTCTCTAGTTTCTGTATCGCTCTCCACATTAAAATCTACAGGAGACCCTGACCCTTGTGATGTTGGGGGTGTCTGGCTGGTGGCCCCCCTAGGACCCTCAGAGAGAACCTCTGAACTTGGCTGTTGTCCTGATGAACTTGCAGTCTTAGAAACTGGACTTGACCCTTGTTTATTATTGGGCTCAGTCAGGAATGTATTACTTGGTGGGACATTTTGAGACATGGCAGGGTTCCCAGCAGGAAAGAGGGCATGTCCACCACTAGGGTTCACAGACATAGCATCTACCCAAGGCTTCAACATCTGACCTAGAGGTCTATAACAAAATTGTTATAAAAAATATAATACATAAAATATTAAAATTACAAGATTTACAATGTACAATTATTGACTTTTGGTGAGATATACTTGTGACTATATTAAGGTGGTCAGGTATTGGTTGACCAAGGCCGAGGTTAACCAATACTGACCAGTTCTGTATAGTCATGAGTAGACCAAATTCGAAAGTCAATAACTTTAGTTTTATTAAGTAATCAGGAATTTAACATCATTTTCTACAATAGAGTTATCGTCTCCATCAAATATAAACACTCATAATATGATATGTTTTGTAGCAACATATCATAATTATATTTCAACAGTTAACAGCTGTTTAAAAATGTGGAATATAATATTATAAAACAATAAATACTAACACATTTACTTATAAAGGACCTAAGATTCTTTGATACTGAGGTGAACTCATTCTGAGGTACATCTCAGTAAAAGGAGTCTGGACCAAACAGAAAGCATCAAAATTCCTGATCATTTAACATTAATGGTTGTTATTATACCTGACTTCAGCAACATTTCTCTTGAAGTTCTTGTGTACAGAAGTATACAGATCTTTTTATAAACTGTTTTTCATTCATGCATAAATAGACAGAACTCATATTCCCTTCAGATCAATGTTAACTTACGTGCTGAGAACCTCCGCTGGCAATCCAGTGATGTATGATGGGATATCATTGCCAGTCAAGAATTGGGCCACCTCAGAACTAAAGGTGTTACAGTTATGGTCCAGTAGATGATAGCAGCTTGGTCTGTAAACACAATATCAAGCTGATCGAGGAAATCTGATATTAAGTTCTTACTTAAATACGTAAAGACTTATACCAATATAATAATTATGTTTCTAGCTGCTTTTAAGACAAGGAGAAAAGAGAGATTTGTCTAAGGAAAATGAACCCTGTTGACAGTAAGGTAACTGACCTATAGGAGGATTGTGCCAGATCACCAAGGTAACTAAGGAAGACATCACGTGGTATCTGTGTGCGACCTAACTCCAAAACAGTGTCCGGCTGGCCTAATATAGTACCTCCCTGTTCAAATATAATAACTCCTTTCCATATTTTTATAGAACAATGCACAATACTTCATAAATTATGACTTTATAAATATGCTTGACATCATCATGAACATTTACACAATTGATACCTTGTGCAGATCTGATCAATGATAACAGTAAGTGCAAGTCTTAAATTTATATCAAAATATAATTCTATATAAACAAATTGATTTCAATACAGCTGTGAATATCATCAGACATATAAATAAGAGATAATTGCAACTCTGTCATGAAGAAGTTTCTTTGCTAAAATATATGTCAAACCTGGCATTATTCTTAAAATTACCCTATTAATACAGTACTGCTTTTATATTTTGATCTGAAGTTAAATTATTGTAAATTCTATAATAAATGGGTGGATGAATTTTAAAGTTTTCAAATTATACCCTGATTAACAAAAGCAAAGTAGGAAAATTTCAAGATTAAACTGATTGAAAGTTGGAAAATCTCAAAGGCAGACAGGTCACACGTTGCTTTTTCAAATTCTTCCTTTCTTATCATTGTATTAAATAAAGAAACTTATGATTTTTTTTTTTACTTCTTTTACTTGACAATTTTAAAAATTTATTTGAATCAGATATTACACAGAGCAAGCTTTTAACAAGAGGCCCATGGGCCACATCGCTCACCTGAGCACATTGGCTAGGAAAAAGCACAGATCAGTAAGTATTGAAAAGTTTACATCGGGAGGGGGAGGGGGGGGGGAATGAATTTTAAACTACCTGAGGATGCTTCCATATCAATAAAACAAATGGCTTTGCTGTTCTTGAGCAGAAGATTTTTAAAGATTTTTTCCTATATATTCCTTTGTAAAAATTTGATACCCCATTGTGGCCCCTCCCTCCCCCCGAGGGTCATTATTTGAACAAACTTGAATCTACACTACCTGAGGATGCTTTCGTATCAATATGACTAAACATGGCTTTGCTGTTCTTGAGAAGAAGATTTTTTCCTATATATTTCTATGTAAAACTTTGATCCCTCATTGTGGCCCCTCCCTACCCCCGATGGTCATCATTTGAATCTACAATACCTGAAAATGCTTCCATTTCAATATGACTAAACATGGCTTTGCTGTTCTTGAGAAGAAGATTTTTTTTTTCCCTATATATATTTCTATGTAAAACTTTGAGCGTCTATTGTGGCCCCACCCTACCCCCAGGGGTCATGATTTGAACAAACTTGAATCTTCACTACCTGAGGAAGCTTACATTTCAATATGACTAAACAAGGCTTTGCTGTTCTTGAGAAGAAGATTTTTAAAGATTTTTTCCCTATATATTTCTATGTAAAACTTTGATCCCCCATTGTGGCCCCACCCTACCTCCAGGGGTCATGATTTGAACAAACTTGAATCTTCACTACCTGAGGAAGCTTACATATCAATATGACTAAACAAGGCTTTGCTGTTCTTGAGAAGAAGATGTTAAAAGATTTTTTCCTATATATTTCTATGTAAAACTTTGATCCCCCATTGTGACCCCACCCTACCCCCAGGGGTCATGATTTGAACAAACTTAAATCTACACTACCTGAGGATGCTTCCATATCAATATGACTAATCATGGCTTTGCTGTTCTTGAGAAGAAGATTTTTAAAGTTTTTTTCCTATATATTCCTATGTAAAACTTTGATCCCCCATTGTGGCCCCACCCTACCTCCAGGGGTCATGATTTGAACAAACTTGAATCTACACTACGTAATGAAGGTTTCCTATAAGTTTCAACTTTTTCTGACCAGTAGTTCTTGAGAAGAAGATTTTTAAAATATGCCACCAAATTTTCACTATTTCTGAATTATCTCCCCTTGAATGAGGGTGTGGCCCTTCATTTGAACAAACTTGAATCCCCTTCACCCAAGGATGCTTTGTGGCAAGTTTGGTTGAAATTGGCCCAGTGGTTCTGGAGAAGAAGTCGAAAATGTCAAAAGATTACAGACAGACGGACGGACAGACAGACGGACTACAGACAAAATGTGATCAGAAAAGCTCACTTGAGCTAAAAAAGAAAACAATAGGGTCCATGAGATATCTCAAGATTTCAAACAGTGGTCAATCTCTGTTCTTTATGCCTCTTATATATAGTCAACTATTTTCTGAATGAATTCAATTACACAGGTCTAGGAATCTACCTTATATGGCAGTTGTTATTATGGCACAGAGCGGAGCTCACTGTGAACAGTTGTCCAATCCAAAAAATGAATAGCAAAGAATGATGGGGATACTACATGTTTACATTTTACTACAAACACATGGTTTGGGTCAATTTACGAGGTAATTTTCATGAAATGCAGGAAAAACAATTGAAACTACTTTTCATTGCTTTTATAAAAAAATACAAAGATGAGGTACTAATAAAGATGTTTCATGCTCACATTGAGAAACAAAGTTGTTTTTCTGAGTTAAATAATAAACTGAAATCTCATCACAATACTAGCATTTAAAATTTAAAATGGCCAACACATGGTAATACATGGGGACATCTTAAAGACTATAATCTTGGTCCAGGGATCCAAATGAAATTTGTACTCAATGATACTACAAAATGGACATAGAGACAATTCTCTACAAGTCACCTTAGACAATAAAATGGAGAAAACTAGAATCCTATGTTTATAAATCAATTTGTAAATGTGAGCATGGAAAAAGTTGTTAATAATGTACATATTGTATTTAATTTGCGAAATGAATGAAAAAATTATAATGTGCTTCCCAGAACAAGTAGAAAAATTGGCATAAAATTTCAGCAGTGTTCTTGTAGTAACCCATAATGCAATTCCACTCATTTAACCGATTGGTCAGTGTGTAATCTGAGATTCCTCCGACTCTTACCCTTGCTTTTATACTGCACATGTCACTATATATAAACAGGGGTTAGAGTCAGAGGAATCTTGGATTAGTCAGTGTGTAAATCATGTTGATATCTCATTTAGTATATCAATTTATTCTGACGTCAGAGAATATAAGTTTTCTCTACCTGCCATTCTACTTCGTATGAAACTACTCAAAATGCTTCTTTTTTTTCCTTTTTACCGTCATCTACATTAAATTCGAACACTTAAAATGACTATGGTGTTCCACAGTACTTGAAGAAATAAGAGGTTGATTACTTGTCCTTTTCTTGATAGGGATACATATCAAACATACCGGGGAACAAGCCTCGATTCCTCCTGTGCCACCGAAAAAAAACTCTTCTCCAAAAACCACTATCCCCGTGTGCCACACTCCTTCTATGTGCCTCCCTGCAAGTAACCATTGATCTAATCAGAGCAAATTAATGAAAGACAATCTCCTATGCAGAGTTGTCGTTCGTTCCTCTCTCAGACACCTCTGCAATGGGCTCGGGTCAAGATTTTTGACACAAGGTGAGAAACATGATATTCCAAGGATTATTTCAAATTAAACTAATAGTTATAGATCTACTCAGTAATTATATACCTTGAAAGACAAACATTAGTGCAGGAATTTAATCATAATGAATTAAAACAAATGTACTATTTCTTGTGCTTAACACTATGATACACGCGAGCCAGTAACAGAGGTGAATGTATGAGCCGATGGTACAGAGTGAATGAAAGAGTCTACTTAAGGGGAAGAAGGACCTTTAGCTGAAAAAATACTTGTCATTCAATTTTTTTTATATTTTGTATATTTCTAATTAAGTATGTCCCACATATCTTAAAGCAGTTATATCATTAGGTTTCTTACCTTATTTTAGAGATATTGATTGACAAATACTATGCCCTACAGTATCTAAGTGGAGTTTTTATTCTCCACGTTTCCGGGCTTTTTACTCTGTCCATAATGGGATTTTTAAAGCATATATAAAAAATATGTAAGTGAACATGTATCTTTTAAAATATTTTAGAGTTTGAATAGGGTTTAAAATTCAAAAAAGCAAGTTTCTTCTATCACACTGCATCTGGATAGGGAAAATTACGAACTTTTTAAGACAACTTAAACAACAAAAAACATAATTCAGAAAAAATTCTATCATTCAATATTTTTAAATTTACGTTGAAATGCAAGTCCTTCTAATTATTGATTAACTGTAAAAATTTTGAATGGTGAAGCTGACCTCAATATTGCACAGGGCATCGTTAAAGAGGACATAAGCATGATAAAAACGTGTCATGTTTACATTTCTCGAGTACGGGAAAAACCATATATGACGTCACACGTAAGCTAAATAAGCAAAATAAGATATACCTACATAAGATTTCTGTCATCAGCCATGCAAAAATAATTTTTGTGCTCCCCATTTCTCGAAATATTTCATCATATACTGATTATGACCTGTTTTTATATAATAATACCGCCCCTGTATCCACCGAGTATGATCTTGCTGTACTAACAGATCGTGTATGACGTCACCGACGAATTGGACATGCACTTTAGGGAAACAGAGGAGTGGATCAATCTTTTTCATAATTTATTAACGTTTGGAAGAATATTAAACTTTTCATTTTTTTTAATATTAGATGGTAATTAAAGAAAAAAATTATCAAAAAATTATACAAGAACTGATGCTTTACATGTTTTGCACTTATATAAATGGAGACTATGACGTAGTTAAACAGAGTCATGTGACCATGTGTCCTTCATCCCCTTAAAGCCAATCAAAACTTTCAAAGTTGAATGTAACAGTGATTCTTACAGGCGTTTATCACCAAGATTTGGTACATTTCAACAGGGACCTGTGTATGGTCCCTGACCACATTACCTAGAAAAGCCTGCGAAAGCGACCTGGCCATTCCTTTACTGATATCGTAAATGTAAACTTTCACTGGCCAAGAATCGGGGTCAGACATGATGAAGGGATGTCCAATTGCAACAACAGGTAATATTTTGTGTCAAAAAAGTAAAGTCATGACAGATCCAAACATTGCTAGGTTGTGAATAGTTTGAATTCCGAACCCGATTAAAATTTGTCGAGTTCGTGAGAGTTTCGGGTTTTTATGTGTCATATCATGCATATTGCTGAGAACTTTTCAACTGTTTTAAATTTTTCTGATCTTGATCTTCTCTATGAACTTGACCTCACAATTCCTCATTTTTTGCAATTAAAAGACAAATCTCATACATATTCAAACAATGATACATGTTGATAACTATTTAATTAAATTGAAATTGAAGTTCTCTGACCTTGACCTTCCCTTTTCAATTCCTTATTTTGTAATTGCCTTAGTTTGAAAGACACTATTCAAGATATCTTTATAAAAACTCACACTCATACATGTATATCTATGAAAACTTTTGTGAAAATTTTCTGACCCTGCCTTTCCCTGTGACCTTGACCTCACTTTCAAGATATTTTTAAGGCCAGTCGATATGTTCCTCAGATATCTGTTTTGTATATCCTTGTAATATATAAAAAATATCTAACATTATAATTACCTTATGATTTCTAAACTGGTTTCTGAATTGCCTTTAAAAAATCAAACGGATAATTTTTTTCATATAAACAATTTAAGTTATTTCCAAAAGTATTATATAGGAAACACCATCATCTGGTATCTTGCACAAATGCCTGGTAAGGTACCTTAATTTTTTGTGAGTAAACACATACGTTACAGTAGCAATACTTCAATGATAAATTTTTAGAAAAAGTTATACATTATAGGATAGGAACGTATCGTCTGTCCTTAGATTCATTGAGCTTTATTCAAAGATAGATATTGGCAAGAGCAATTCAACTGTATCATGATTTTCTGACCTTGACCTTCCTCATGACTTTGACCCTGACCTTCATTTTTGAAGATTTTTTTAATATAAAAAAAAAACTTTATATAAAGATACAGATTTTTCCTTTTCCGTATATTTTTCAGGATTTTTCTATTTTTGCAATTTTTCCCTTCCATTTGAACTTTGTCTTTCCTTTTGGGATATTAGACATTAATGATATTGTGTATTTTTCTATCAATGATTTTCTCCCTTGCTTCGTACTAAAATTAGCCAATCCTGCTATCTTATCTTTCAGTCCATGATTTGAACAAACACAAATTGTCACAAAATGATGGTTGTACCATTAATGCCTTTCTTCATTGTGCTTTTTAATGTACATAATTTCTGCTTTTGTGGAATGTTTGTAAGATGACCCCTATTTTAACCCCATCCTGCTTTGAGGTCTCAGGATTTGTACAATCTAGAATCACTCAGCACACCAAGAAGGAAAAAAATGAAATCATTTCTTTTAAAGTAGAATTTTTATCAAAAATACACAAGTACATGAAAATACAATTAACAGAATGATCTTTTAATATATCTAAATGCACATTTAAAATATCATCTCATTCCCTCCTTAAAACTTGTGTCTGCTATCACTGTATTAGAATTAGACACTGGAAGGATGTTTGTTGATTCACTTTGTGCTTCACTAGTGTCTAATTCCATTGGGTTTTCAGCCTGAGTGTCCACATCAGCTAGTCTGTCCTCCTCATTTTCCCTGTTTATCCCCTGAGTACATCCCTGTTCCTTGTCAGGGCACCTGCTGTCTAGATTTACCTCCCCTGTATCTTCATTCATATTCTCCATTTCTCTTTTCTTCTGATCAAATGCAACTTTGCTTGAATTTTTCGTGTGAAGCATAATCCTGTGACCTAATTTGTTAAAAACAAATGGATAGCAGATAAGTTTCTCTTTCTTTTGATGGTACTGTTGATGTACTTCTTTCCATGTGGGATTAATTTACGCTTCGTACGTAGTCACAATTTTCCACTGTAATTTGTCTCAATTTACTTAAAATGCAATAAGGACATACAAAGACAATCAAAGAAATTCGCGTAATTTTCTACCCACAGATTGAACAGAAATTGTGATTCCACAGAATTATGACCATGTGAGAGAAGTACATGTTGGCAGTAACTGATGTCAGAGATCTTAACACAAGTGTATATTTCTCTGTCCTAAGATGTGGATACCAACCTTTACAGTCCAGAATCTCCCGGAATGTCTTCTCTTTACAACAATTCTTGCACATCATATAAGAACACTTTCTACCCTGAAAAGTAAACATCGAAAGTATATCACTGTAATGGGGTACTCTAGATCAATCAACTAGAAAAGGGGGGGGGGGGAGGTCCCTACCCTCACTTTCAGTGACCACTTATAATTTTTGGGGTGCCTTTTTATCCACTTTAGTGAAACATTTTTGTTCTTTTGCTTGTCATTTTTTTCTCTAGCAGCCTCCCTCCACCAACTTTGAAAAACTATGCTAAGTGCCTGTAGTCATTTATTCTTATGTCAGTCTATCAACATTGAGTAAGGTTATCTAGCATTTACAGGTAAAGACACTCACCACCGGTAATCATTGTACAGAGAACATCTGTAATACATTTGAATCCTAATCTACCAGTAACTATTGAGACAGAGATTTCAAGGTTTTAATTCTAAAATAATTTTTGTGATACAAATGATTAACTAGAATGTACATGTATATGTATGCATTGAGGAATCATTATATTTTGTGGATTTTTTTTTCATGGGTACCACCCATCAAAAAATTTACTATGCCATTATGACAAATACCCCCACTGACAGGTAAGTTTTAATTAGGGATGTCAATTTTACACTGACAGTTTAGTCAAATAGTTGGATGCTTTAGTTGAACGATAGTCGAGTACTCATTGAAATATATTTTTGTGTGTATCAATGTCAAGGTGTGTCATTTTCAGACAGGTACAATATTTAATACATGCTACCATCACATGCTTAGTATCTTGGATTCAACATTTAAGTAGAAATAAATATTTGAACTTAATATATTTGATTACAAAATCATTATTTTACTGCATATGTTATCTATATAAGATTTTCAAATACTGTATACTTTTGATACAGTCATGTACTTTGATGTTATGACAGCTTTGTAAACTTCTAACACATACATACCCTGATATTACAGCAGGCCACACACTTCTCATAATTTTCCTCGGAACCTCTCGTCAGCTTTTTAAGGGGATTCCTAAGGAGTCTTTTGATCTTGTTTTTGGACAATCCAGCAAATTCCGGAGACTGGAGTTTCTCCTCCAGAGGGCGCTTTATGGTCTTCTTATCTTTGTTCTTATCCACATCGTTTGGACTATATCACAGCAATAAAAATTGCAAATTGTGTTTCATCACTTTTACATACAACATGTACACTGTATGACAAGGATTAAATCATATCCAACTCTTGAATTTATTTTCCCAGAACTACATCTACATGACCATGTTTATATATACATGTAATTCACATCTGCTTCTAATAATAATGTTTTGACATACTTCAATTAACGCTCCTAACTTTAAAAAGGTAGTTCTAGCCTATTCAAAGACATACAGTCATAAAAATGTTCTGAATAAAAAACCTACTCTGGTCTGACATAGGGCTGACAAATCCAGTAAGGGAAAGGTAACTCTGATGAAAACAGTTCAGGGTTCTCTTTGTATTTTTCTGCATCTGCCTACAAAACAGAATATTATTTTAACATGATTTCAAAAAGGACATTTTAAAACAAATATATATACCATAACAAAAATGGAATGCTGTTTCTGATTTGTCTATCTATTTTGATTGTCTTGATCTTCATTTTGAAGTGAACCTAACCAGGCATCTCTCCTTCAGTTTCAGGGTAGCCAGTCTGAAGCACTCTAAAGACCTTCCAACTGCAATAAGCTCACGAATATCTGCATGTACGTTAAGGCTGAAACAGAAATTATGATCAGTGTATAACTGTAAAGGATCTTATTATGGTGGTTAAACATGCATGTGAGATGTGGTTTATAAACCTACCTGTGGTGAAACACCTTGAAGATGTGTCCCCTGGCATACGATAGAGGACAGGGGTACTTCTCAGCCATCTCAAGGTAGTCCTCAGCCATTTTCCAAACTGGGGGGCTGTCGCCAGTGAACAATGCAGGATTGTGTAGGTTTCCCTCTATAAAAAAAAATAAAAATAGAGCTAGAGATTTTAGAGAACTGAGAATGTATCTGTTCTATAGCCACAATCATTATTAACAATGCTGATTTGTACAGGGAAGTATGAACCCTGAATGATCCCTGACCTGCTGACATGACCCCCTGAACTCCTGTTTGATCTATACACCGCTCCACGTCAGCTAGATACTGTATGTTACCATTAGCAAATACAGGAATTGAGACACTCTCCCTACAAAAAATATTTTTTAAAAATTTCAAACATATTCTCTCTACAATAACTTAAAACATGATACTTAAAAAATACTTCCATCTTGGATGAACTACAAGCCTGAGATTAAGAGATCCATGGACCACAAAGCTCAACATGCAGTCACATTATCTTCAAAATATTACATGCACCCTAGCCCTAGGAGCCATAAATAAACACTGAATGTACACTATCTGAAGATGCTTACATATAAATATGACTAATCATGATCATGTTGTTCTTTACAAGATTTTTAAAAAAAGATTTTTTTTTAAAATTCTCTATTGTGGTCCCATCCTACATCTTTAGTACTAAGATTTTTTTCTATTTATTCCTATGTAAAACATTCTATTGTTTGTGACTCTACCCTATCTCCAACAGGTCATGCTTAGAACAATGTAGAATCTGCACTACTTGAGAATGCTACTAATCATGATCCTGCTATCCTTGAATAGTAGCCCATGAAAATTTTAATACTTTGAGGTCACATCCAACCCCAGGGGACTATGATTTGAATAAACTTGAATCAACTTGATCAGCATGTCAGGAAGCTTTCACATTAGTTTCATCATTTCTGGCAGAGTGGTTCTTGAGAAGAACAATTTTTATGACACCCAACCTATTTTTCTTGATTATCTCACATTTCATGAGGTCATGTCCCTTTATTTAAAAAAAAATTAAACCTCCCTCACCCAAGGCTACTCTATGCCATGTTTGGTTGAAAGTGACACAGCGGTTCTGGAGAAGAAGATGAAATTGTGAAAAGTATATGACCACGATGACAAATTTTGATCACAAAAGGTCACTTGAGCCTTTGGCTCAGGTGAGGTGACAAACTTTTACTCAAATTCCAATGGGGTCCAAAGTGTAAAATTCTTCATACAGTACATGTATATACATATGTAGAATTCAACAGTATTTTTTTTTAATTTTAAAATTAATCTTTATTTTATAAAATGATGCATTTTATCATTTTTGTCCATTTACTGAAGCCTCTTCCTCCCTCCTCAAACTTTTGCATGAAGTAAAAGAATATTTGGTTTAACCACAATGACTAAGGTATCTGACCTGATGAGTTTGATGATATCCCAGTCTGCCAGGCCTGTAAATCTTCCCTTCTGTTCCTTTGTCCGACCATGTACAGTCAACAGCTACAACAGTCAATTGTAGCAAATCATAAATCTTTATTTGCTTGCTAGATAGCTTAGTACAATTTGGTCTGTAAAGTACCACATCTACATCATGAGGCTACTGAGGTAAGTAGCTGATTTAATTTTTATAAACATTATAATTCATACAGTTGAATGCTAGTCACAGCTCTTTCACGTTTTCAGCATTTTGTAGGTGAGAAAAGGGATATTCATATTTATCTGGCAATAATCAAACGACTGCTTAAGGATCATAATACACAGAAAGTTGTGACCAACAAGAATTTTACACCTTACATCTGTAGCCCCCTCTGGACAACCTTTTTATCTTGACTTAACAATTGGCTCATAAAATATAATCAAGGATAATTTTGTAAACAGATGCAAAGACAGACAGACCAACTCAATATGCTCTCAATTTTTTGTAGACAGCTCTTCCTACCTGACAGCCAGCCTTTTCCAACATCTGTGCGTAGAGTACTGTCTTCTCTTTTGACTCAAATACTCGAATCTTACATGTAATTGGAACCTTCAACTTTTGATGACAGAGTGCAACTACAATATGACATATCTAATCAACTGTTTCTCCTAAAGTTATATCTACATGTTTAGTTACTTAGTGATGATTTATTGAACTTTCCTATTGAGCTATATTAAAAGTCATCATTAAACACAAAATCTCTATAAAAAGACAAAAGCTATCATAACTTAATCACTGATATGAAATAATGAATAAATAATAAATGTACCCATTTTTTTCAGTAGGTCCCACTCATCCTCTAAGAATGCTCCATAGTGACCTCGTTTGGCAATAGTCTGAGGACAACCAAGGTTTAAATCAACTGCATCACAAATATCCTCCACATACTGGGCTGCCCTCAGGAATGTGTCAGGGTCATTGGCACAGAACTACAGTATAATAAAGTATCAGTCTGGTGTGCTTCATTCTGAAGTAGGAAGAGACTGCCCATCATTCCTCTAATACCACCTTTTCTTACCTGTACAATCAGTGGCCTATCCTCTGGACATGTCTGCATTGCTTCTTTCCGGTAATTAGGATCCCGAACAAAAACTGATGAGTGAAACATGGGGGTGTAACATAGCTCTGCTCCATATTTACGGCTCAACATTCGCCAGGCCAGCTCACTTGCATCCACCATTGGTGCCACCACATACTTGGCTGAATTTAGAGACTTTTTCCAAAAATCGAATCCTGAAAGCTTCCTCTCTACCTGTGAATTATTTATTCATTTAAAATTACTAATTTATCTTTTTAAAGAACAAAAACTGTGCAAAATATTCCAATTTGAGATCTTTTTTCCTAACAAGAACAAAATTTTACAAATTAAAATCCATAGATAATTTTCATTGCTGCAGAAGTTTCTAATGGATACCCAGTGTATTTATCTTACAGTACTGACATGTGTTGCCCTCAAGTTACATCACTCTTCTAATATAAACATGGCATTTGTATGGAAATAAGAAACAAGTCATATGGAACCATTAAAAAGGGAAATAGAACAATCTAAAAGTAGCTAAATACCAGGTAAACTACATTATACGTATAAAATGTCCCTGTAGTGGAAATTAATTGAAATACCTGAATCACCTCTTCTTGTTGACGTTCTTCCATCTTCCACATGTTGACACTGAAGAGCTGACACGGGAGCTAATACTGAAATTTAATGTTGAAGGATCGTCTCAAAAACCAAAAATATTTTTAAAATATTTATTTACAATGTGAAAAAACTGCTTTATAGAAGTTAAAAGAAAAATAGTAGAAAGCAATTTATTAATATTTTTTGAACCACAGTAATCTTGGAATTGTCAGTGAGTTTTTTTGCACATTTTCCGGATATTTTCTGTTCTTTTGATTAATATTTTAAAATTTAGGATCGTCACATGACAAAACTGGTTATTCTGCTGAGAGTTGAGAACCAGGTTATCAGGGAAGAACTTTCAAGAAGTAGGCGGTGTAAATGCAAACTTCATTAGAGACGATTCCAGTGTTTAAATAAACACAAGGTTAGTCTAGTTTGGCCTATACTGAGAAGCACAGGTTTCTGTGTTTAGCAGAAGAATTTGTTGAAAGATCCACAGTGTAGATATACTGTAGACCCCCTCCTAAAAAAAAATGAACTACAGCAGTTCATGCATTTTTTTTTAAATTAATTTTAAGATGGTGTCAATTAATACTGTTAATGGAAACTTACAATAAATTGTAAGGATGTGAGAGCAAATGGAAAACGTTTGAATATGATTTAACATCAGTGTGATTGTTTTTATGTAAAAATTTTGAAGAGAATATTCAATCATTAATATGATATTGGCCTGTCCTTAGACACAGTTATATTATTCTAACTATAGTCTATTCACAAAGGAGGGAACTGCAATTTGACCTTATAGGAACTGAAATATTAACATGTTTTTGTTGTGTGGTTTTTTTTCTCTTACACCTTTAGTACCAAATGTAACTGTTTATACATATGTCAATGAAAGATGAAGAAGAAGATGATGAGCTACCAGTCATAAGTTCATACTTTAACCATGTTAACCAGGTCTGGCACAATCTCATGATTAAGCTATATAGCTTTATTAAGCTATTCAAAATAGCTTGATTTAGCTATTTCATAACACTTTTTTCTTACATGTGTTATTTTTGCAGCATGCACAAAAAGTTGAACCTTCAGTTGGTGCAGTGGAAGTATTCAACTTTGAACTCTTCTGAAAACATTGCATGTAAAATTCACACATCAAATTGTGTCTTCTTGGCACAGGTGCTTGGGGACGGGACCCCCCCCCCCCCCCCCCTCCATTCTGTACCCCAAGAGTTCTTCAACTTTTTGTATGAAATATTTTCTATGACACATTCACGAAGTATTACAATCGAAAAATCCAGAATTTAATTGTAGCTCTCTGGTCGTCCATCCCAATTTTTTTCAGACCAGCTAGCTACCTGCAGCTAGGAATATGACTGCTTTTTCCTTATTGTCTAAGGCATCTTTTGAATGATTTAATCAAGTGGCTTCATTAGATTCAGTTTTACCCCCTGCATATGTATAATTTGGGAAATAAGAATATACTGATAGACATGATTTATGGATGATCTTTATTACATCATCAGTTCATGTACAAAGGTTGTGTAGACTGCAGCTCAAGTTTACAATATTTTCTATGTCTTTTCTGATAGCACAGCTTAAAAAAAGTGAATACTGAAAAGATAAGTAGCCTTCTGGTCTGAAAATTTTTCAATGAACAACAAAGATTGACATCCTAATTCTATTCATACCAGTTCGTACTATCCAGATTTGTAGCTTACTGAAAACATAAAAGTTGTGAAAGAAAATATACTTTACAAAGAAGAACCTCAGGCTATACTCTGATCTTTTCATTAATGTTGTACAGTTTTTATTTCGCCTGAGTGTATTGATACAAACAAGAGTGCATGCAGATATGAATTTGTCAGGGTATCAGAGGTTTAAGGTTTACTTCATCCTATAGAATTTTATCACTGAGTTTAAGATTTTGCCTATATTCAATAGTGAGTTTTTTTAATCATAATCAGTGATTAGGGGACTTTCATCATATTTTATAAATCCTCTTCAACTTTTTTGACATGGCATCGATACCTGCCATGTTTTACGTCTTATGTAAATTTTAACAACACATAAAAAGGTTACTTTTAGAGGAGTCCCAACTGAGTAATCCATGTTGTTGTCAGTTGCTTCAAATACGGATACTCTGCTGTGATCCATTATATTTCAACAGCAGTAAAATAAACGACATTTGAGTCTATGATTTTTTGTTAATGATAAAGCACTTGTCTGTGGGCAGGTACCACTTGTCAAATAACTTGGCAATCAAACAAAATTGGTTGTCCTGGGCATTGGGCAATGCTATTTGTCTAGCCCTGGCTTATACAAAAAATATCATTTAGCAGACCTAAAGCAATGGTTAATGTCAAAATATAGGGATGAGATATGCATTTGTTTGGGTTAATAATGTTTTCAGTTTCCTTTTCAACAGAGGAAGAGTGGTATATATATAGGAGGAGGATGTATAATTCCTAGTAAATATGGTAATTAATTGAGCTTGATGTATGAAGGGAAGGTCATTACACTAAATTTAATAAATTGTTCCATGTTTTCCTTTAGTTAGCAATCTTGACAGAATATGCACCGTCTTTGTTTACCTTGAATGGTACAGGAAGATGTGAGATCTATATAATATAGATGTGAAACAAAAAAATATGGGGGAAAAGATCAGTTAAAAGATAAATTAATTAAAATAACATCCTGATCACACTGATGACATACCAAGCATTTACAACAAAAAACTTAAAAAAAAAAACATGATCATGTAATGTAATACTGGGTGTAGGTAGATACTGCCTAAGTCTGATCACACTGATGACGTACCAAGCATTTACAACACAAAAACATAAAAAAAACCACGATCATGTAATGTAATACTTGGTGTAGGTAGATACTGCCTAAGGCTGCAGTTAAAATAAATCTTGATTCAAGATACTTGGTTATAGGAAGAGGTGTAGTTGATCAGGAAGAAGAATATAATATTAGATAGTGATAGAGACAATTAATATCTTTAATGCTTGCTTAAATTGTTACAAAAAAAGAGAACAAAAAACAGGTGCAATTTGAGCAGTGTTCTGTTCCAGCTTTCTTACATTACAGAACTAATTTCTTAAGGACAGATGATACAAACAATAAAATAGATGCCTGGATTGGTATATATTTTTTGACCTATTTTGGTTGTAAATTATGTGAATATTAAACTTGTAAAATATGAAGAAATTGTAAACTTTCTATGATGTTCAAAATTCTACCTTTCTGCAGTCATCCTTATTAATATGTAACAGAAGAGGAGAAAAATGCGACAGACCAGACCGGAATTTAAACCAGGGTCCCCTGAATCTCCAGTCAGGTGCTCTACTAGCTGCAGAACTGTAGCATTATGGTTCTATATTTTAGTCTTTGACCATAATGCTACAGATCCTGTAATGCAAATATGGTGCAATTTTTGGTGCAAGATTTTCTGCACACTTTGGGGATGTATTAAAAGTTTATGTGCGTGAAAGTCAGTCGATATATCAGTCTCAATAGCTCAGTGGTTAAAGCATTGGCACGATACACCAGAGTCGCTGGGTTCGAGTCCCAGTTGAGACTTGATTTTTCACCACCTGTGACATTTGGCCCCCAACATGCAAATACCCACTATTCCCTGGGAACGTCTTACAGCATTTCCTTAACTCCTAGAATTCGAGGACAAATTTCTACAAAGAGGGGTAATATGTCACCAGGTACACAGATGTGTGAAAGTCAGTCAATATATCAGGTCTCAATAGCTCAGTGGTTAAAGCGCTGGCACGCCAGAGGCTCTGGGTTCGATTCCCGGTTGGGATTTGACTTTTCACCACCTGTGACTTTTGTTTGTATCATCTGTCCTTAATATGCTACAGTAGTCATGTCTTATTCTGTTTATTGAGCAGTTTTAGCCCCTTTTTATGCACCTTTTTATTAAAAAAAGAAAAAAATCCATTTTAATTTTTTAAAGCCCAGAAACTGCTCTGACATTGTTTGATCAGCCCTACATAAATAAGATATATAAACTTGGGTAATGAAGGAAGGAAATATTTGACTTTAAAATGACATATTATAAGTTATTAATTGGTATTTTTGTTTGTAAACTGGTAACACTAACCAAGTACTCATTGCACACAACAATTAGCATTAATTAACATTAACATGACACATTAATTCAAAACTTGCCAACATGCATCCCCCAACAAAAAACTGAAATGATCATTGTATATATAAGTGCCTAATTCTGTAATGTTATTAAGATTTTGATGACTTAAAGTATATTTGACCTTTATCACAATACCGAGTTAATGATGTTATTAAAGTTCAGAAACAGCTGATAGGTTATCACATGACAATAACTGTAATCTGAGTCATGTGACTTGTACTTCTGCAGCTGTTTTCATCTTTGATTGCTGTTCTATACAAGCATATTTCCTATACCATATGTAAAGAGCTTGAAAACTAGGCAAGATTGACAGCTAGGTAGCCCAAATATTACCTGAGAAGTCACTCAGGTAAGAAGTGAACACATTCTCGTGTTGGGGGGCTGGATGTTTGTTTTGTGTAAACTGAATATACACATTTCTTATCTGCTGTATAATTGAGAAGTGGGAATCAAGCTAACACTTGGGCAAGTGTGCTTTTTTTTTTAAATTATTCTTTATATTTATTTATTTTAAGATAAATTAGCATTGTCTACCATGTGATTCTATATTTTTAGTACAAAATGTTTCTTAATAACTTAATGGTTATACATGTATATAAATATATATTGTATCCATAAGGAACATCAGTCCCTGTGTTTCTATTGGATGAAATGAAGAAAGTCAATTCCCCCTGTGAACTCTTTGGACTGAATTTTGGTACAATTTGTTTCCCTCCTCTGAGTCAATTTTTTTAACTTATAACTTGTCACTAAGTTGTCCATTATATTATAACTTCTGAGAGGTTTCCTGTCTTGGTTCATAGTCTTTATTTTTTTCCCTGTTGTATTAATACTCCTTATGCCAACTAAGTGTATGGGTCAGACAGAAGTGCTTAGTTAATC